TAACAGACTTTTCACACTTGTGTTCCTCAGGTGATGTTCAACACTGGGCAAATCAAAGAAGCTCAAGAGATGTTCTTGAATGCTTTGAAGCTGCTAAACAGGAGACTCCCAAAGAACAGAATTCTTGTGTCACTGATGTGCATCATTGAGAAAATCAAGAGTTTCCACTATCAATCAAAGCACATTGAAACACCGGTGTAAGGGTCATTATTAATGTATATATATGTTTTTTATATGTATTTTTTAATGGTGGTCAGCATTTGAAAACAACTGGATATGTTCGCGAAATCCCAATAATAAAACTAGATTTGAAATAAATCATTTGCTTAACCAATTATTAGCAAATTAAAAGGAGAACACAATAGTGGGTGTGTTTTACTCTCCCCACATAATTAAAGTTAGTTACCAAGCAAAATGAAACAGTTTGAGGCACAAAATGAAAGGTTATTTTCAATCTGATTGTTCCATTGTCTTGGTACTCTATTCAGGCACTACCACTACTGATTAAAATTCCACATTAAACCTCTCTGTATGAAATGATACAGGAAAGAAGAAGTTTGAAAGTGCTGTGTAACAGACCTGCAGCTCACACACAAGAGGATGACATCACAAATTGGAATTAAATAATGACGAGTAATGAAAGGAACAATTGGAAAGATTACAGACAGATAAATCCATATTTTAGTTTTTCAGATGAACAGAAAATTGCATGTTGGAAGAAAATCCATAAATATTATTAGAATATTGTCTGATGACAATTTTGGCACTATCAGAATATTGAGTAAAAACATAAAATAACAGTACACCTCAGTCTTTCACATTTTCTACATCATTTAATACCCTATGGAATGCTTTTTAGTATGGTGATCCTAAACACAGATTCATGCTACAGAAAAAGACCACACGTGGCCTCAATCTCTCAACACTTTTCTTAACACAAAACCGATATGGAATGGATACTGAGCCATGAGAAATTAAAGTAATACCAAAAGGAACTACAATTATTTTGCAATTTTGTATTTGTATTCTACTCTTTTCATTAACATTTGTGCATTTCTCAACAGGGAGAAAAAGCTAGCTGTTTTGCATGAACAAATTTGTTGTTTATCCTATATCTCGCAAATAAGCTGCATGGCAAAAATACCAAAATACACTGTATCTGCTTCACTTGCCATTGTGATGGAAGTTAATTCTGCTAAACGCAGTGCAGAAGAACACAAGGTTTGTCAAACCCCTTTCCTCTCTATTGACAACAAGGAGCTGGTAGGTATACTCCCCTACCAGGGAAATTGGAGAATAAATTGTGGTCAGTCAGTCCACTTTTAGTAGAATGTCAGTTCCACTTAATGTTCATGGAGATACAGTATGTGACCACTTAGCCAAAAGTTAATACAGCTCTGCATATGATGTGATGAGCAGTTAACTGTATCTGCTGCAATGTTCCACCCTTGAGACACATTAGTTAAGTTTGCTGCAGCCTTCAGCAAAGCCAGTGGAATATTCTCCCAACAGTTGCAGCATTTGTGAGGTCAAGTACATTAGACCTCTTTCCTATAGCATAGCACAATGGTGAGAAGCTCTGCTCTTCTATTACTTAATAGAACATAATAAATTGGATAGCTTTCCCACTGCTTCAGACTATATGCGTATCTCCTATATATACCTTATTTATTTATGTAAAGCAATGTACAGTACAGCATATTATGTGTAGTTCACTGTATTATAGTAATATGCAGACCTCAGAGTGTTAAATTAAAGATGGTATCAAGCAAGTTTAATGGCATGATTCATATCTCTCTTTTCTCTTTATTGATGTTTTTCCCAGATCATTCATTCCTCTGTTGATTACTTTCACTACTGTCAGATTATGGGACTGGAAGGTGAACGCAAACGATATGAAAATCTCCTGTATGCAAAATGTGCTGAATTACCACATACAATGGAAGGAGTAGTGCTAATTAGCTATTTTGTGCGAACACTTTGTGCTGTCAAACTATTTTCAGGAGAACTAAGTGAATCAATTGAATATGGTAAATACCGCTGAACCATAACAAAACTTTTCAGAGATACAATTTCAGTAACACTGTAATGTTAGGCTTCATCTTCTTTTTTTGTTTCACAGGTTTTCGGGCCTGTAAAATTGCAAAATTGCTCAACAAACCAGGACTGGATATGTGTACTATCTCCTTTATGTATACACCTCTGCTACTGACCTACAGGTTTTTCCATCTATGAAGTATATATTGTTGTGTTCTGTTATTACAATCAGTAAAATTTGTTATAAGGACTTGCAATATGACTTTAACCTTGTGAAATTTGATTTAGAACAAATGGAAGAAAAAAGTAATATTACTTATTTGGGTGATGCTGGTAAAGTACGGTAACTTACATTTGTATTACAGCAGGGAATTTTATCAGAGCAATTTGGTTGAAACACCTTCACAATGTTTCACTTGGGTCTTGAATGCTCAATCTTCCAGAATCCTAACCATTGCTCCACACGGATGCCCCCATATAACCTAAACAGTACACAAAAGTAAAAAAAAATATCAGAGATTTCTGAATCCTACCATATGTAAATAAGATACCATTCATCAGGATAAAGATGATGGTAAATGTTGGTTTTCTTGTTTTTGAAATGACTTCTCCTTGCATGCTTGTAGGTTCCCTGAGTGTGTTAGGTTGCTTCAAACCTTGGAATACCTGGCAAATTCAAATCTCAACAGTACAGCCAAAGGCTGGTTCTATACAGCATGTTTTGATATTCTACTTCATACAGGTACAGTAAGCATGTTAGGCTACAAGCTTAAAGTAATATTTTATTCTGTACTATAGTCAGTCATTGTTTCTTAAATAATGTGAATTAACTACATAATTTTCACATTTAGGATGCTCTGCTTTATTCATTTTATGTGAAGGCCACAAATAATTGAGTAATCACATTGAAAACCAAAGGAAACATCACAATGTTAGGAATTAATTCAATCTTCTTTTGTTTTCTCTAGAAAATGTGGGATTTTGAAAAATGCTCAACTGCTTTTGGCAACTTTTGCAATACATGTGTACTGTCTTTCTAGGATTTGTTTTAAAATCCTTTGATGAGTGTTTGAACTTTGTTGAAGAGGCCGATTCTGACCCGACTCTTGTCGTAGACAAAAGTTTAATGTTGGACCTGTACTCATCTGTTGCACTGTGGTACGTACAGTTGTTAGTGACTGTCAATTCAAGCAGGATTTATTTATTGCTTAATATTGTTAAAAACATATGCTATATGTTATGTCACTAAACTGGGGCATTAGGACCCACACTGACTCCAGGGTTAGAACTCCTTATTGGTCCAACTAACATCCAGCAGCAACCTTAGCTTTCCCAAGAGGTCTCCCATCTAGGTGCTGGCCGGCTCACACCTTGTTAGCTTTAGTGGATTGCTAGTTGTGAGTTACAGGGTGATATAGCTCCTCTCTATATCATAGTAATGACCTATGAACTACATGTCATATTTTAAAAACGTGTTCCAACATTTGCCAGCCAAGTATTCTAATTTACTTCAATTTGTATTTGCAACAGGTATGCAAGGATTTGCGAATGGGATAGAGTCTGTTTCTTCTATGTGAAAGCCAGAGGACTAGCTTGTCAAGCTCCATCATCTCTACAATCCATAAATGGACATGTGAAGTTTCTGGAGTGTCATGTTTTGGTGTTCAGGAAGGCTCTATCTGAACAGAATAAACATGTGATGAAGATTTACCAAAAGACACAAAAGGTGACTTTCCTGAAATGAAAGCTCTTTAATACTGTAAGCAGATAATCTTCAAAGTACTAGTACAATAGAAATAGGCTTTTGCTTGCAGAACATCCACAGGTCCCCAGTGTACAACCCACTATTGAGATACTGGGATCCCTATCTCTAGATGTAGATTCAATTGAGTAAGATTTGGAGAAAAAAGAACCCTAAATGGTTTCAGCAAAATATCTTAGATGATTCTACAAAGTAACCAAGTAATCACATTGTTATTCCCCAAAGGGCAGTATGAGACAAATATAGGTGGCCTAACAGTACAGTATCTCTGTGTGAGTTCCTTTACAAATATATCATTTCAATTTATGGCCCAAAAACAGGAAATTAATTGGGGATTATATTTTTACAAACAAAACAAAGGATACTCATCTGTTGGTAGCATGACTTTCAATGACATTTAAAATTTAGATTTCATATTTCTAAATCATAAGTAGAAAACTGCTAAAGTCTTTTTCTAATGCTTTTTGTTCCCTATTTCCAGCTCTTTCATGATTTCAAGGCAAGGTATGCAACCAGCAAAGTTTACTTTCCCAGGCTTTTGCATCTAAAAGCATATGTATACCTTATGTCTGGACAACCGAGCATTGCAAAAGGCCTTTTGAAAAAAGGTTCAGAACTGAGTCAGAAGCATGGAAATAAGTTAGAAGAGAGCTGGATAAAGCAAAGTGAGGTCAGTACTGTTAGTGTTGTTCATAGAAAAGACAGAAATGTAGACTTAAAAAAAGTATTTTTAGTATGTTCATTAGAATTTTCAGAATTTATTCATACTTTCACAATAATTTAATGGAATTTAAATTAAATTAAAATGGACTTTGGGAGGAAGTCCAACCTTAACCTCGGCCACTTCTACATGCATATAAATATCATGATCAAGCCATTTTTGCACTTAATTTTGCACAATACGAGAAAGCACTCATCCTCTTGAGAAAGAGACCTTACCATGTAATTTTTCTCAAATTCCCTTTTCAGATTTCGGTGTTTTGCAAAATGTCTCATCATTATTTCTTCTCTTTTTGGTACTGTACTTGGAGCCAGAAATCTGACTTAATCCATTCAGATACTATGTTAGCATTGCACCCAAGTCCAAAATGTCCTTCAGAGATGTCTCAACCATTTTCACCTGCAACTAATTCATACTCCTGGGTACTCAAACCATTTTGCTGACTTACTCTTGTGTTCAAAGTTCTTATTCAGTCTCCATTCTTCCATTCACTGTAAACCGTAATTCCTACTTCATCTTTCATATCCGCAAACTCCACAGGCCATCAAAAGCAGGAAGCCATTCACATGCTAGCTATCTGCCATCAAATTTTTACCTGCTATGGGACTCCCATTCTGAATCAGCTTACACTCCCCTCTTATCAATAGTCCTGACAGCCCTGTTTCTCCACGTCATCTGTCCTCTCAAATGAAGAACACTGACCAGCCTGGGCCAAGCACATTTATGCATTACTGTCAATTAGACTCAGCAATCAGTCCTTCCAGACATATTTATTTTGCTTATCTCTCTCCTCCCATCCAACAGTCTGTTAATCAACAAGAACTGGGAAATACCTGTAGTTACATGCCAGCAGTTTCCACAAAAGTTGGCTGTATTGCCAAACACATTGGTTCTGAATTGGTGCAGCATCCCCTGCTGCTCATTGAAGAATCACCATCCAAAAACTAAAATGTCTAAAATGCAGGTCTTCCGAAGGCTGCCAGGCACTGCCTAAAAATGGGTTCTCTGTACATTCTGTGTGGCTTTCACCCGCGCCTCAGCCTTGCAAAAGTTCTGATCTCCAATTCCCATTTATGATTCCTCGCCAGCACTTTGTGATTTATGTTTTATAATCCTCATCATTTTCTGGATGTTCTTTAGTGCCAGAAGTGGTACAATGCAAATGCTGACTCCCTGTACATCTCTTCCTCACTCAAAACAGTATTATTCACAGCGCCATGCCCCAACCTCTTTACTCTCACTGGTTGGCCATGAAACAATACTAAGGCTTACACTGGATCTGTCATATTCCCTTATATTTGTATTTTCTAATAACTATATTATTTTCATATCCTACATGAAACTTTGTAAATTAAGAATTCTATATTAGTGTTATGGGGGCCTAATTATTTGGCAGGTTCTGACAGTTTCATCCTTAAGGTCAGATGATTGTTGGCTCAGCCCAGATAGGTCAATAAATCAACCTAATTTACACCTGTGTTCTGTCTTAAGTAGGGTTTGACCAACCTACTTAAATTCAGTTTTAAAAAGAGGTCAAATCTAATCTTGTAGGGAGCTGCGTCACCATGTGTAGGCTGCTAAGGAACAAGTACAGGTTTATTCCAGGCTGAATAGAGAAGAAAGGAAGCACAACGTTTCGGCTGCTCCCACCCGAAGAACGCTCCACAGCCGAAACGTTGTGTTTCCTTTCAGCATGGAATAAACCTTTATTTGTTCCTTTGCAAACTCTTATCTTGTCCACTGAAGCCTTTGAATTTGCAAAAATATTATGATTCTTGTTTACCCCCTAGTTCATTATATTTTGCATCCCTTCCCACACCACATCTTTCCCCTTGCAATAGGTCCTTGGCTTAGTAGTTCAGGTGGGGAGCTGCGCCAGCATGCGTAGGCTGCAAAGGACCAAGTAATAGGTTTATTTCATGCTGAAAAAAAGAAGAAAGAAAACACAATGTTTTGTTTTCTTTCTTATATTTTCAGAATGGAATAAACCTATTACTTGGTCCTTGGCTTATCCCACTTAAGAAGGTGTGTGGGGGGGATCCCATCATCAGGGTATCACTGTGTCAGCCAGGCACGTTAAGACAGTAAATCAATCTGATCTCAATTATGTCTGTATTCTGACTTAATTGTGGTTTTACCAAATCACTGAACACAAGGAAAATAAGAAACAAAGTTTACTTTGAAGAAACAAGAAGTGAAAAGCTACGTACAACTTGGGAGAAGTCTGCTCTTTGATTTATAAGATGCAGCATTTCAAATATTTAAATATCTGTAAAGATAAGAAATTAGTTTTAAGTACTCTAAATACAGAGGATGTCTAATCTTACCCAGTCTAATGCATTCGCTACGTGAGTGCTTGGTCATCAATTTGCATATTATGGGACAGTAAAACATATTTTATTTATACTATTGTGTAATCTTTTTAATTTGGAAAAAGTCTTTACTTCATGTATCAAAGAAACCTTTTATAGCAGATCAAGTCATAGTAAGTTTGAAAGACTTGAAGTTTAAAAAAAATGTAATAATTTCTGTATTTGTACCATTTAAGGACTCATGGTTTGGACAGTTAAGACAACCTACAGACCAGTGGTTAAAAACAACAATGAAAATTCCAGATTGGAAAGAAGCAGCGGAAATGGAAATGGATGAATTTTCCAACACCAGGTATCTTCTGACAGGCATTGAAAATAAAGCCTCTGATCCTGGCCCTGCACATGAAGGCTCAACTGTGTTTCCTCCTCTTGAAAAAACAGATGCAAAGTTGCTGTTCAATGACATATAACTAAATTCTCTACTCATCCATGAATTATCATTAAACCAAATCCTTATCTGGTATGTGACAAAGCTAAATATTTTGCATATGATCAATAATTATTTTAAAACTAAAAATAGGATATATATATAATTAATTTACAACAAATACAAAAATCAACTCATTTTATGTATTTTTTCTCTTTTATCTCTTTTATGTTTCTTATATTGTATTTACTGTATGTCTTTGAAGGACTTTTTAAATGTTAACTTTCAGGCTCATAAAGTTGAGAAAGTGATGTAAATGTAATTAATTAGGCAACAAATAAATACTTACAAACAAAAATCATGTACAAAATAGTTGTGTTCATATTTGTAAGATTTCCATAACATTTAGTTACAACTGTTTTGTAAAAAGGCTGAATAATTTCTCAAAGGTAATTCTCAGTAAAATGTTGTAATCTGTTCTTAGAATTCTTTTTCACCCTCTGTCCTTTGATCTGTAATGAACTTGGAACTTCTCTGAGATTATCATTTTTTACAGTCATTTAATTAGATTCCCAAAATATTGTCACTGTTTTTAATAGGAGGTATAAGTGAAGTCATATTAAGTATTCAATCATATGGACAGTTTCAGGAAAGTTAAGCTCAATTAATTGCAATTAAAAACTGATAAATCCAGGAAGAAAAAATATAAAAGTGCAACACATGATGTAAAACATACTACAACAATTGATTTTCAATATACAGTGTATTTTATTGACTCATACTTGTGAAAACATGAAAGTTAAATACATTTAAAGAGATTTCTCAGGAAAAATATGATCAAGGTGTAATCTATCATATTTGAAAAAGAAAACATCTGATTATATCATTTTTCATTATACAAAGAAATTCTAGAAATCTATTTTTCTCAGTTAATACAACAAAAATTCTCTGAATATTGTCCTACTAATAAAAGAACTATTGCATCTTTTCCTAAATCATTTTGACTCCTGTAACAAAGACATTTCATATAAGCAGCTTCTTTAAGCATTGCCTGAGCTTCTCTCCCTGTCTGTGTGTCTCATGGAGAGCAAGTTGGGGTATGCAAAAAGACAAATTCCTAATACAAGAGATTGTATATGACCAATAAAGTGATCTTATCTTAAATCATGGCTTTAACAGTTAAGTATAATTCTTTTTAAAGGACAATGTCCCATTCAAAGTTTCAAAGTTACTGTGATCAAATCTGGGGTTATTCTCATGAAATGGGCTATTTTATATACAGTAACGTATACATGGCATTTTAAACTTCTTAGATTAGTCTTATAATTAGTGCCACTACAGTTCTGAGGATTTTGTATTAATGCAGAATGGTACCATAACCATTCAGCCCATTTTCACAGAAAGCTGTGATTAACTAGTTAAGAGTATCATGGTTAGTTCACACAGTACTTTAAAAGTAACAGATTAGAGAAATTATTCACATAAAAAAATATACAAATCCTTCAGATGCCTGTCTAATATCTCTGATGAAACAGCACTACTAATGAACAGCATAATGAAAGCACAATAAGTTATAATCACTGGATAAAACATTGAAAACAGAGTCTTTTTCAATTTGAAAGAGGCATCTGTATGTGATAGCATCTCCTTGAAAAACTGACATAATCCAAGCCTCTGGGAATGGCTGCAAGCAGTTCTTCAGCACAAAGCATTGACATTGTAAAATGAAATTTAAAATAAGCTGGTTATCTGCCTAATTATTCAAGTAAATTTAAAAATTTGTACTTTATTGGAAATAATGTATGTTTCCAAATTCAAAACATTTTACCTGTAGACCCTGTATATTAGCTACTTTTAGCCCTTGCAATTTAGTGAAGGATGTACAAAATGTAACGATTTAGCTCGGCTTGACTCCAAGTTCCGCAAAGTAGTCATCTGAAATACAGCTGAATGAAAGCCATAATATTTCGAAAAAACTGCAAGGTTATTATAACCATTCATATAATTCTCTGAAAGCAGAATAAAATATACTTGCTAAGTATGTCGGGAGTGATGAGACATCACAGTAAACACTTGAATTCTGTTTATTGATCAGTTAATATATAGATTGTAGAAATTAAATATTGTTTTTATTATCATCAATAGGATTATTTTTCCATGAATACCTTCAAATGATCTTATTGCTATGGAGATGAATCTGCCATCTTGTGATTGTGCCTCAAGTACAAGAACACAAACAAATCTATAGATTGATTAGACAACTAAACAGGAAGAATATATTTAAATTTTTGTTTAAAACAATTATTTATTGAGTGTGCAAATCTGAGCCTTTTGCTTGCCAAATAATAGGCATACAACTAGTCAAAAACTGAATTGTATTAATCTCTTCTAATGGCCTTAGCATTTTTCAGTAGCAGGAGATTCTTCCTAAAAACAGCAGGATTCAAATCCATTTATGATTAAGAAGTACATGGAATACACCAGCTGTTGACATCATACATGAATTTTTTAAAATATATTAACTGAAATCTTCCTACTGCATGTAGACCAAAGATTTCCCAACACTTCTATTAATTTTTTAATCAATATAAGCTTCATAGGTGAATTACTAAAAGTGTAGGTTTCTTATAGTTTTGGTTCAATAACTAAATAGTAAAAACTGGCTTCTTTTAAAAAATAAAGTAACACAATAATGCCATTGTAACTGATTAAGCCAAAGAGTCATATTTTTCTTTATTTTTTTGTATTTTAATTTGTTGTGAACTTTTTTTCCAAAATATTTACCCTATTAACTCTAAAAAACAACATATTTTGTTGGAGCTTTTGGCTTTATTTGTTATAAAATGTCAAAGATCTGAAATGAACAGCTATTCATATAATTTCCTGTTTCAAAATAAACAACATGATCAGTTTTAAGAGTTCAGTCTTAGCTCAAAAAATACTGTATATATAAACAAATATTCCTCACACTTCCTACCAAGACAAATGCAGACACATAAATGTTAACATTCATGTGCTGATAAATGACATAGGAAAATTTAGAGATGTACACAACAAAATCATACTCCTTAAATTTCATTTTTATAAGATTCATAAACTGCATATGTGATTTGCTGAGAAACCATGATTATGTTTCAAAATAATACTGGTGTGACAGCCGAGTCTTCATAGAGTAAAAACCCTGAACAGTCCCTTTACTCGAATACCAACAGAGGTACCTGTATGCAGGAGTCACTACAATTTAATCTTGGAGGGTTAGTTCTTTGCAGGTTTTTAACAGTACCTGCCAAAACAATTACTATGTTATTAGAGAAAAAAGTCTTGCTTGATTATACCAGCAATCAGTACTCAAAGAACATGTCTACTTCAAGAAAGAAAAAGTAAAGCTTGAAAAAACATTTAAAACATCTAGAAAGTTCAGTATATCCTGCAGTTATTGAAGACACTGCCCTACCCCTGCACATTTTCCATAAGATGGAATAGGATCCATATACATCCATGAGATGGTGATGAATTTCAGACAGTTTTGTGCACTTTGCACAAATCAAAGCACAGCAGACTATTAAGTTTAAAGGTATTACCATTTTTGGTGCATTGAAATAAATGAAAGCATGATTTAAAATAATAAATGTACCATCCGTCGTACTGTTTTTCATCTAGGATGTTATAAATTAACACAGTCACTCTAGATGGGAGTACAAGATGTGAAACTATGAAATGTACAAATATGGTTAACCTATCTAACCTGTCATTATATTATTGCATTATAAACACCTTATAGTCCCATTTACACAAAATGATAAATAGTATAATTTTCTAGAACATTTTCATCACTGTATATTTGAAGATCAATTATATTTATCATTTATTTAATGTAATGTGAACATCTATTATTAGGTTTCATTTATGTTAGATGACACATGCTTAAAACTTTCAATCGGCTGTAATTTAATTGGATGATTGCAAATTGCTTTCCTTCAATTTCCCCTATTTACAGTATGCTTTCGTAATTTTAATTACTCCATTTTTATGGTTGAAAATCAAGACTTTTTAAACAATACAGGAGAATGATTTGTATTATCATCTTTAGAAAAAAAATAAATACAAAACATACAAAATACATACTATTTAGTTTCAAAGAAGAATAAATTTAAAAACCTTGTAACATCTAAATCCATCACAGAAAAGCTTTTTTCCCTGCACTTGTACATCTGTTGCAGTGTTGGTTTTACTTTACATTTACATACACAAGAAAAAGAAACATGTTGCTTGTATGGTTTTTGTAAGAAAGGTACAGATTTAGAGGCATTAAGAAGAAAACAGTTTTACACAATGTACATAGAGACTTAACGTGACAAAACGTTCAGAAGTGGTCTATACAATTGTATACTGTGGCACACTTTTTTCATTTTTTAAAAGCACAGTAACCAAGGAAAAGTCATAGACATGTCTCCCTGTCAATGTTCCTCTCCAAATCGACCCTCTTCTCTCGTCTTCTGTCGCTGCTATTGGAAAAGCTACAAAAAATGCCAAATATCACTCATTACTTGATCAGTCTTAAAAATGCCTTCATTTTCATAGATGGAGAAAGCACATTTCAGCTACCCACAATAATGAGGTAAGGTTTGTTGTTGATGCCAGATTAAGAAAAAAAGTTGAAATCAAATTTGTTGAAATGGTCAATTTTAAAAGCTGGCGGTCTCATGGTAGCTATAGCAGAACGAAGTGAGGTGATGTATCTAATTGGACTTTGGTTCACATTTGGAATGGAGAAGTCCTCCTTCATGTATTGTATAGAAAGCTGAAAGGTTTGGTTAGGATGGAGAAGGTTACAGAAGCCTCAGGCAATGCCTGTGATAAAACAGTTCTGTTCTACTTGTAAAAAAGGATTCGATGTAAAAAAGGGCTTACTGGTAAAATACAGATACTTCGCTTTAACTATTTTTTGTCACCAATAACAACAGGACATGTCAACTTTTACAGAACTGTCATTTTCACATCCATTGCTGAAGTGTACAGGAGTAGCATGCAGATAAACTGTGACAAAAAAAAACAGCGTCATGCACAGAGGAGCTTTGTCTGGAGTCATACCTGTTTCCTGCCTCACATCACTATTTTAATACCCATACATTATTATCTGCATCAACATCTTTGGTTAAAATAAAAGAAAAAAATGTGTTAACCATTTCCTGTTGGAATCAAAATAAAACAGAAAACAAGTCGTTTTTTTTTCTCCTAACAGTTAATGGGTAACGCACTTTAAAAATGTGGAGGGACAAAATTGACCCTGTAAAATCTACAATATTTGGAATGGTTTTCATCTTTGTCTGATGGACATCAAATGTACAGTATATAATTTTACAATTTTCTCAATACATGTAATTTTCCAATACCAGTTTTATGTAAAATGTCCAGATTTGAAATAATGAAACAAACACACAAGGTATTTATTTTTAAAAACATATTTTCTACTTTGAAGATTACACAAAACCCACAGTATGTGCTTCTAATCAAATGAAGACGAATATATTCTATTCTACTTTAATATTCTACTTTTTCTGCACAACTTCAAATTTGGACACGTTGCACAATGCTCAATGTAACTGAAAATTACAGGTTTTGAGAATATTTTTTTTTATATTTAGCACACACACTCTCTTTTTAAAAGTCACAATAATACCAGAATAAATTAAAATTGAAGAATTTTGATTTGAATGACTGGAAAGTGAATAAACATTTGTCCATAAAAAGATCTAGTGCACCTTTTACATTGCGTCTAAAATTTAAAAGCATTCAAAAAGAACAATTTTAGGAGATCTGAGTATTCTATTACAAATTTGCTTTATATCAGGCAAAGATTAACCACATTTATCAAGCAGACGTATGGTCATTGATAGGGCACGATAGTGAATTGACATGAGAAGACAAGAATGTACAGGGAACAGGGTCTTACCTTTGGGAAATCAGCTTCTATAGAGGTTAGGAAAGGGAGCTTATGATAGAAATGGAATGAAAATTAAGAGAAGAAATGTGTTAACTTTATCAGCCCTACGACAAGGAAGGGGAGAACAGCCCAGATAAGATACAATAGAAAGCTACTAAAATGCGTCAGAATAAAGAATTACATGTAATATCTATAAAAATCAATTCTATGGAAGTATTGATTTACATTAGTACTAAAACTGTGTCACTCAAAAGGGAGTCTACTATAAAATGAAGCCTTGATTTTTAATAAAAGATATGCATAAGCAAGCCCCAAAGACGTTTGATGGGTTTTTTGAATATGCACTGTTTTAAAAATCAAGCGTCACAATGTGACAGAAATACAATTAATGTAGCAAAAGAAACATTTTTTTAATGGAAAATGTCATTTGGACCATGAACGTCAAAGGTCAGTTTTCAAAACAAAGCATTAGAAAGGCACATTTTATTTTTTTAAGGTTTTGCTATATACATAAAAATATACAGCAAAACAGTCACAAATATAATTTTTAAACCTCTGCATTTCATTTTTGACTGTTTTTCTCTGTATATTAAAAAGTTTGGTTTTCTATATTCTGAAGGGAAATATTTAATGATTTATAAATACAAAATGCAGTCCCTCTCTAGGTGTCAATAATAACATGTCTTAATGTCTGAATTCAATAATGCCTGGAGAAGGAGGACAGTTCAGTATCACCCCTTAGATACAGGTAGATAGATTGGGATGGAGTCACCTGAAATGGAAGAATTGTGCACTGTTAAGGTTACTAGGGGATACCACAAAGTTCTGCACCAAGCTCTTGCACCCTGTGCCCTGTGGTCTGACGTTTCTTCTGCCAAGTCATTCACACAAAGAAAGTCACCCCTGTGAGAACCCTAGCACAGTCTACAACTTAAGACCTGTTGCTGGAGTGATAAGGTACTTCAAAATGCCACTTCAGGGACCTTCACCCACCTATTTAATTTAAATGGACAGTCCGTTCTAACATAAGCCTCAAGCTTTACATTTTGATGCTGTAACTGATGCATTTATTGAATGAGAAATTTGACTGGCTTTTCATTTTTATAAAGATGTGATCTGAAAAATGTAAACTGAGAAACTGAATGCATTACATAATTGTCCAGCATTAATGATTAATAATCATTATTTTAAAGCTGTTTTTCCCTTTATCTGTGATCAGCAGACCTTTAGGGTTTCCAACTTACAATCAACAATAATAATTTAATTTATGAGTGTATTTCAAGAAACAAATAGAATGTAACATCCTGAATTATTGCAAATATATACACTTCAGAATAAAAAATAACATTTTTTGTTAATGTTAACTCAGACCTACTGTGTTAAATGTGTTCTTCTATTTTTAATACAGGTAAAAACTATTGCAATGTTATAATCATATAAGCTAGATATAAACTGCAGACATATTGTAAACAAATAATCTCCATTTTCTTAATTAGGTTATCAAATAACATGATTTTAAAACTTCTAACTTTATCCTTTTAATCATAAGAGTAAATTAAACATTTTGGGTTTTTTTTCTCAAATATATGTGCAAATTATTAACTGAGTTTTATAAGGGAGGCACTTTTTATCAGATTAAACTGGAAATTCAAAACCTTTTTGAGGGTATGCAGGAATCTTTTTTGGAGTTTTCCGTATTCATGGTGAGGGTCTTCCAAACTGAAGTTTTCGCCATTTCATCAGATATGTTAACTGTTGAAGGATCATCCCTAAAAGAAGCAAATAAAATTAAATACATGTATGACAAAGTGCCAGATTTGTTTTGAGATAAAAATGTAATAAGAACATAAGAAGTTCAACTTCAAGCCTTACTAATTTTTTTTTGCAACTGCAATGCAATTGTATATTTCTAAAAAGAAACATTTATCAGGAAAAGTTTTCAGCACTGCAAATTGTCTTTCTGAACAAAATTTAATTTTAGCATTTAAACATTACACAGTACTGATAATAATTTCCCACACTACAGTATATACAGTATATATCACATATTTTAAGTAATAATGTCAGTCTGCATTGTACCATTTTACACTCAGAAGAGCAAGTATAATGTTTGTAGACAGACATATAGGCAGGTGTCCATACATTTCTTTACTAATCAAGTATTGCATCTTACTTGTAATTTCCTTCCAAAGGCAAGTGTACTATTCCCTCTTCCTCTCCCAGCATACTTTGTTCTTCCTGAAGAAGAAATGAGAATCTAGTGATATTTTGTACAAATTATATTATTCAAACCTATAATTGATAACATACTGGTGGTGTAAAATAATTTGACTACAAAACTAAGTCAGTCTCTGAGCTGCAAAGTAACAAGCTAAGGTTAATTCCTCTAGACAAGTCTTCTTCCATATTTAACTTCACATGAAATCTACTTATATTGTCAGTGATATGTCAACTATAAATTGCATTACTAGGGTCTGTAAAACCTCTGACATTTTAAAACAATCTGAACATTTTGAATACAGCAGATTTGTTCTATTTTACATAGAAGTGAGATAATAGCTTCAAGGTTTTTTCAACAACTTAAAAATTAAAAAGAATATACTGATTTCATAGAAATATACATTAATTTCAAGAATGAAGTTACCTCTTCCTGAGCATCTTCCAGTTTCTTTTTCTTACTTTCTGGCATTAAATCATCCAACCAACTTAGTTCTCTCTTTGTGAATAAGAAATCCAACACCTTCCGAATGAACACAAGTGCTAAAACCTTCACAAGAAAATAAAAAGCAGAGGAGATATCACTATTCTGCAAATTTGATGCTGGTGTTCTGCATTAAGTAAAAACCATACCATTACTTTATCCATCAACAAAAAGCTGTTTATTCTGAGTAAGGTCTGCACTAATCAGGAATCTATTCTGTACACATAATAGGGCACAAGACCGGGATACACTTTACGTAGGATTCCAGTCCATCACAGGGTAAACAGTAACAAGTTCCCAGGTAACCAAGATTGCATGTCGTTGGAGAGGAAACTTTCCAAAGGGAAAGTGTTTGGGAGAAATCCCATGAAGACACAGGGAGAACACACAAAATGCACACAGGAGTGGATCAGTCCGGAATTGAACCCAGACCCCAAGAGCTGTAATGGGGCACCGGAGCTAAGAGCCACACCACAGTAATGTTACATTTTTATCATTTAGAACATAAAATCATACTGTAAGTCACTAAGGGTTTTTTTTCCTCATGTACCAACTCTAACTGCATTAGGTGAAAGAACTCTGCTTCGTACCATCATGGGGAATACAATGGCCGCCCGTGAAGTCTTTATTACCCACAGCAGGACCAGGCAGCTCAGCTGGATGACTGTGAACAGATGAACTTTCCTCAGTGGGACATGCCGCAGATAAATAAAATCAGGTTGGTGCTTAGGTGGCATCCCAAAAAGTTTAAAACGATCGAAGAGCTGCAAAACAAGGATTTAAAGATACAGATAGTCATTAAGAAATATGAAAAAGTAAAAAAAACGAAGATTTTATGTGAACTGAATATGATGTTTTGCAGATTGCAAAAAGTAAAGGCCTAATACCCTTCAATGTGTAACATTTCTATTTGTTCATAGGTATCATAGGCATCGGTTCATGAAAGACAAGAATGCTAGTTGATATCTTCCTAACACAAATCTTAACAAAAATATTCACGTACTGTAGTACATGTAGCTGCACAGTTTTATCTACCTGAATGCCTTTCAGCGATGATCCTCCCATGTAAAGGAAAACTCCATACAACACTGGCATTGGAATGAACTATAAAACAGATAACATGGAGAGAACAGGAGAAAATCATGTTCATTTTACTCACACAAGCATCAACATAGTACTCGGATGTGCCTTAGTAACCAGAACAGTGCAGTCCTCCATTTACAGTATATAGCACAGTATGTACATTTATACTGAGTATTTGTTTAAACCTTGTTAAATACAGTACATTAGCTGTAAGTCTCATCAGCCACACAGGGTGCATCACAATTCCACAACACAAAAAAAGCCAATTGGCAATACCTTGGAACAACTGACAAAAACATGCAGCTACAGCTGCAGAAGTACTGGAATGGTAGCATTATTAATTATTAGCTTCGTGGTTTAATGTTGCTTCAAAGCATAATAAAAAAAAAACTTTTTTCATAGCACAAATCTTACCTTCAGCACTGAGGTCATGAAGACAGAACAACCCATCAGTAGAAAGATCATGAGCCCTGTGAACCTCTGCTCTCTGATTCCGAGGAATTTGGGTTGCTCCCCTGGAGCAGAGCACTCCGACTCCAGTTTGAGGCTGTTCACATGAGAGATGGAGAGGACAGTGGCTGCTACAAACCATGGCAATCCCATTATGGAGCAGACTCCCAGCATGACGCCCACCATGAACAGATCCAGGTGGTACCCACATCCTTTCTGTTGGCCAGAAAAACATGGTCTGGAATTAATTTTACAATTTGCAATGGAAATGTTTAGTTTCTATCTGGGAAAACTGAATTAAGCAATATGCCAACAGCTCAGTGTATACTGTAGGATTTTGCAATGTTTTGTCAGGCATGAGGTGAACCATGCCAACACATACCTGTACCCTGGATTACCATACTGGAATTATGTAATGGTTCTGAATCAAGTTAAAAGGTTAAAAAAAACAACTGAAAGTAATGTATTTGATTAAAACATGTCTGTTAATATTTGCATGACAAGTATTTTTGTAAATGTGTGATTAAGTCATAAAATAAAACATTACAACCCAACCAGTGGCTCAAGAAGTAAAGACAGTGAGGGTTGAGTACCACTGTTTCATATGAGGTCCCATTTAGGCCATTATTCAAACTGTATCTCTCTCACACACACACAAATTACTCTCACATGCACCCAAAATGCTCTCAAACTCTCCATTTAACCTCTTGCATACACACAAAATGCTCTCACATTCACTAGTTTTACCTCTCACGTACAGTACACACAAACGCTCTCAAATTCACTACTTTTACCTCGCACATACTGTACACATAAAACACTCCTTCACAATGTGAATGTCAGAGACAAAACTAGTGAATGTGTGTGCATTTTATGTGTATGTGAGAGGTAAAACTAATGAATGTGAGAGCGTTTTGTGTGTGTACGTAAGAGGAAAAATGGAGAGTGTGAAAACAATTTACTTGTGTGAGAGGTAGGCGACTGTCTAAATGACACAATGTGATTGGCTGAGAAAATTTACCAACAAGCTTTTTCATTTTCTGCTCCAAACCAAACACTGTCATAGATGGATGGGCTACAGCTGGCCTCAACTTGCCATGAAAATCTGTAAGGTACCAGGTGCTTTCATGCTTGCAATGCCTTGTCAGTCAGACCCACACTGCTGCTTTACTTAATGCTAACTCACAAACTCTCTGCTTTTCTGCCAGAGAAAAGTGTGAGCAGAATAAAACAAAAAACTGTTATTTTTCACATTTAAAGAAACAATTTTGTTGATAAACTCAGTGCAGTAGAGAGATATGTTTATTAGTAAAAAAAGCCTGCAATTCGTTATCCTAAAATAACAACACATGTAAAACAAGACAGGAAGAATAATATTGAATGTGAGGTTTACTGATTAGAATGAAACATCCATCCATTTTTTAGTAACTGCTTTGTACTTAACAGGTCACAGTGAGACTGAGCCTAACCAGGCAGGCAGGGCTAAACCTTAGCTGGGAATAGCATGAACACGTGTAGAGAAAGCAATTTACAGGTGTTAATTAAACTAGATAGCATGTCTTTGAACTGTATCACCAGTGAAAAGCCATGCAAGCATCTGGAGAACATGCTAAAAAGTCACCGCAGGCTAGAACTGAACCCAAGACCCAAACGATATGAGGAAACAGAAGTATCTGCCATGCCGCCATATGACCATACTGAAGAAAATTTAATCTTAATGATTAATGTGATGGACCGTCCAGGGTGTACCCTGCCATGCACCCATTGCTTGCTGGGATAGGCTCCAGCTCCCCTGCAACACTGAATTGAAAGAAGCTGTTAGAAAATGGATGGATGGATTAGATTCATTCAGATCTAGCGAAATGAAATATGAAATTCACATTATGGAGACTAAATGCCTGCCTCAGAATGAGAGGTAATTTTTGTAAAGCGTCTTGTTCAGCAAAGGTTCACTTCTGGCATTTCAATGACAAACATTCCAGTAAATGCAGACAGATGTCCGTTTATTAGAACAGGGTTTCAGCAAAGCACTGAAAGTAGGTTAGAGCCCTAACATGAATAGATGATATCATTGTAAGAGTAAAGAGACTAAAATGGCAATAAGCCAGACACAGCAAGAAAAAAATGGATCATCGTTCCAGGAAAATACTGGAATGGAATCCAAGGAATGAAAAACAATCAAGAAGACCTCCTGTGGAGAGGGAAAGATGTAATCAATATGTTTGCAGGCACAAGCTGGATGAGAAAAAACTGAAGGCAAAGGTTTGTAAAAAAATCTTGGGGAGGTCTTTGTTTGGCACTAGACTGATAAAGGCAGAAGATGCTGATAATGTTTCTCTGATTATGAAATTAACTCCATTCACTGAAATTGGTACCTTGAGTTTGTGTTCCTTTCTGTTGATGATAACTGCTGTGATCTGCTGGTCCATGAAGATCAGAATAGTGCACAGCAGGGCAGGGAACACAGTCACTATGGTGGTCCACCATGGATTGGGACCCAATGGGTTAACCAGCCAGCCTCGATCATCCCTGGTGGGCTGGAAAATGGCAACATTTGAAAAAAAAAACATATTCACAATATATGATGAACCGTAAGCATCTTAGAGCACACTTCATGCATTCTTCCACAATAAATACTTGGAACTATCATAAATTAAAATGCTTTTGTTTTGAGTTATTCAGTAAAAAAGGATGATGCTACTGTTAAAGTTTACATTGCGACAATACCATTAAGGATTCTCATTAAAAAAGTCACTTTTATAATTATTTTTGCTAATTTACTAACAGAACGACTTTTGCAAATTTAGGCCATGAATAGAAAACGTTTTGATTAACTTATCTGATAACAAACAATATTTCTCACAAATATTTAATGGCTTGTTTTAAAAGTTTTTTTTTACCTTGAACTCATTGGGAACTTGAAGTTTTGGAGATGGTATTCCTAAGCCATAGTCAATCAACACCATAGTAAGAATGGTGAGGAACACCGCAAAGTCACTGATTATCGCCCGAACCTGGAAATGAACATCACCGGTGAAAGAGTGTACACAACTGTTTTGTTAGTACCGAATGAATCACTTTTATCCACAGTACTCAGTATAGCACTTCACTGTCTTAGATATGTCTCAGCGTCTCAGCAGTCAAAACCTGGAAAATAGCCACTAGAGGGCACCAGCATTCCATGAATTCATTCTGTAACCCTGATTCCATTTCAATTCAATTAACGTCAGTTCAAACTTTCACATTAATCCCAATGGGAAATTAGTTTTCCTGACAGTCCGACACAATCAATGACAAAGGGGTCAGGACAAATAATATTTCAGGAAATAAACAGAATTATTTTACCCTATTCAAAACTGAAACGGAAAAGGAGATAAAATTATTACCCGAGCCTGCTTCTGTTGCGCCTAGGCGCTTCTTACAGCGGTAAACTGTGTTTGGTGATTCTGGCTTACCTTAGTGGGAAAATAGCGGCTGGTCTTGAATTCCTTCAGGAAAGAGGACATTGTTACGGTTGAGAAGAAAAGAACAACGGACCAAAAGAGAACGTCAGGGACATATGGGCCATGGGGCCCGCAAGCCCTTCCCACAAACTCCCCATGTTTCTCTATGCAGTCCTGAGGAGAGAGAGAGGAATGCAAAGGGGAGAGACGGAGATGGAAAGAGGGGAGGAACAAGGGACATAGATGATAAAAAAGGAAGAGAAAAAGAAAATGTATTTAAAGGGGAAACGACAGAGCATTACTTTCCTCACCTCCTGTTCTCAGAGGAAACTACAGCACTTGGAATCATATATTAAAATGTAGGACAGGGGGTGCTTTTTTTTACACAGAACGTTATAGAGATTTAAAACAAACTATTCCAGGCAGGTTTCTGAATACATTGGGTGAATCAATAATACAGTATTTATGATCATTCGTCAATTTTATACATTAATAGACAATTGGATTATAAAAAGTTAGCATGTTCTTAATTTAAATTAATGAAACAATATCACCTTCGACCCACAAAGTATTTTAAGCAAAAAAGATTTACAAATGTCAAACCAACAGAGATCTGCAGGAACCTGTGCGTGTCATTAAGGAAACATGATATATGACTAATAACATGTCTTCTCGTAACATGATGACTTATGAGTTCAGTGAACTGAATTTGAAGTGAACTCCTTACATACTCCGAGAAGCCTACAATGAAGATTAAAGACAATCAGACATACTACATTTCTTTAAAAATCTCCAAAAGTTTTGGTTCATGTCAGCCTGTTTCTATAGTTAGGAAAACATTTGTTCTCGTGTAAGACAAAACAAGACTCTAAATGTACATATAGAGTACTGTAGTTATTATTAAGGGCCCACAAGCCACCTAAGAGAAAATTTATTTTATGAAAATGTGCTTTTATGGTGATTTTGCATTGCTAATCCAGCGTAATCCAGCCCACATGCCCTTAATCTCTTCTCTTGGTTATACTCCATCTGGGAGTGCATGCTGTTTAGCAACAACTCAAGGTCTTCCCTCAAAAAACCTCATGCATTCAAACACTTCAAACAATGACAAAAGTGGTATGAATATATTTTTGTCATTGTCATTCCCATTTCAGATTTTTTAGGGTGCATCCATAGCCTCTCTAAAACTGATCTATTATCTTAGCATACCTGGATTTTCTTTATCTTAATTTTACTTGATGTTCATTTCATCACCAGGTAGGATAAGATTTGTTGTAGCGTGTACCAGCCCCGACAGATAGAAAATACTGAGAGGTATGAAAAATGCAACAAATGAGTATTGGAACAAGGGAACATCCCTTATGTTAAGGTAGTCTTCTCATTAAGTATTTTGTTTTTATTCATTTATATTCATTTTAATTACTTCCTTAAAATAACAGAGGAGTAGATGGCTTCTTGGACTATGGATTAAATTACTCTGTTCCTTATTTCTTAAGAGAGATGAAGAGTCCAGTTCAGTTAGTTTATCTTAAACAGATGGCAACTCTGTATTATGGCTCCAAATCCATACATTCATAAATATAATACAAATTGAACCAAATTAATCACATGTCTAACAAACCTCTGCGCTCTTAATGCATCAATCTTTTGATCTAACGTCCACTTTAACCCAAAGGTTCCACCATAACCAGAAACATAAAGTGTCAACTCAAGATGCCAACACACCACAAATCTATATCCCAGGCTCGCACTTATCGCTAACCAAAAAAAGTCTTGTCAGTATCCACACAATTCATGCTTACATGTACTTCCAAGCCCTCCCAGTAGATTTCAGATGCAGTAATGTTATGTTCATCCCAAAATGTCAAGGTTGCATTACTTGGATCGGGTGGCTCCACACAAATACACCTGAATAAATGAAAGCAGAGGCGCGCTGGGCAAGAGGCATCTGGTTTTTGAAGCAATAAGAGTAAAGTGTAACCAAATGGCATTAGCTTCGCCTGGACACTACTGCTTTCCTTTAAAAATATCTGTATATCATACGTATATAATACTAGTATGTGATATGCACATAATATACATACTGTACATTTTAACCTTTCATATTTCCCAGCACTCTGCAATGCTTTCTTTAAACAAATATGTTTAATCTTCCGATATTTGGACAATCGCACCAATTAAAATCGAGATGAAACATTTACTCACGAATACTGAGTGAGCTTTTCCAGGTTATTGTTCATGTTGATTGGGTAGGTTTCGCCAAGGTGAATTAACTTTTCCAAGGCCTCATATATAAAAATAATACAGATAAGGGCAGCGAACGCTTCTTCAGTGAAACGAGTAATGTAGCAAACGAGGGAACTGGCATCTGTTGCCACAAGGACAATACACAGGAATGCTGTCCAGAGTCCTATACACGCTCTTAATGAGAGGTAGGATAATCCATATTCCCTGGAAAAAGGCAAGAACAACAGCATCATATGAAAAGTATACAAATACCCTGTAAACACCTAGTATGGGTGTGAAGCACTTTCATTAGGAGACTCCCTAGTGGTTCACCTACAAAATGTGCTAGCCCAAGCACAGGTTCAGCTCTGCCACAGAGGGTTTGAGCCTGGGTCACGTCATTAGCTGGGTGTGATCAGGATTCTAAAACAGTCAGTGTGAAATTTGCCAAGGGCAGCCAAGGGTTATGTGGGATTCATCAGCCACTGCTCTTTGTACTCTACAGCGACTCCTGCTGTCTACGGGTGCTGGCAGGCTTTTGTGCCTCCAGTGTGGAGCTGTGTTGCCAGTGGCTAGTTAGGAAGTGTCTGCCTACAGTTCCCCCGTGTGCGATGTCAGGCTTCAGGGATGCAGCCTGAGACATGAGAAGCCCAAAACGGGCTATATGAAATAGGGAGGATATAACAACTCTACATTTCAAAAGAAAAAAATACAAGATAACCTTCATTGATGCAAGATTTTGAAACAATTTTTGAAAAAGGGTACATGCAGGTGTTCAATCAGAAACTGACTTTTTTGTATTTACAAGCTTTTTTGTATTTTTACAATTGTTAGCATGTCAAAAAAGACATCAGCTGGGAATAATACTCTCTAAATGATTCTGTTAAGTGTTGTATTTGTTCAGTGAAGACTTACGAAGAGGAAGATACAAGGTTATTGATGAAACAAAGTCATTCTTCAAAAAACACTTGTGGCCCAGACTTACCTGCAGAATTTGTACAATATCTTTTCAAATACCAGGACTGGCCCTGTGCTACCCAGTATTGTGAGTGGCTGCCCTGCAAACAAAGAATAGGCTATTCCCGTCATTGAGGCTCCAAAGAGGGATTCGATTGCACTCTGGAAAAAAAAGAGCAATACTGTATATCTTCTGTGTACTGAGAGAGGAAATAAACCGAAATCATACACCAAGTATCAAAATCTACCCGTCACCACTCCTGTTATTCACAGACAAATATACTATGATGTACAACACTGTGGTATTGCAGTCTAAATAGCAGTCCATTCAAAAAAGACACAATAGAGAAACCCAATACTTTTATTATTTGTTGTCGTTTTAGGTTGCAGATCAAAAATGTAATTTTAGGTGATGAAATATCTCTGTCTTCATAGGAACCTGATCTTAACAGTGAAATTCACATTATCTAGATTTGATCCCTCATTTAAAATTAAATGAGATACAAAATCATATATGCATATAGGAAAAGGTTCTTACTATACGGCCTTCAGTTGCCTCTCCTAGCAGGCCTCCAAATGTGATCACAGGTGACATGCATGCACAATACAGGAAAAGGAATGATGCCAAGCACTGCAGACTGACGGCATCAGTGTAGTCAGACAAGTAATGTGGAGCTTTTCTTTTGATATCCATTATCAAACCACCAAAGAGCCTACAAAAAAAAAGACAAGGCTTTGAAAGAACAAACCACAGTTTAATCAGCCTCTGTCCATCCATGTTAATCGGATGGGATCATAAATAGAACTACTTATGCATGAAAGAATTAGACCGACTGGCAAAAAAACACAGACATTTTTTACAATCCAGAAGAGGTTGACGCAGTAACTGCAGCCCAGGCTGATCTAGCTTACTGGATGAAATCAGAATCTGCTGCATCTGATTTCACCCAGATTTAGAAATCCAGAAACCTGCGTCCTGGAAATGGATCACCAAATTAAAGTAAAGATAAGCTTATGCTCAATTTTAGTGAAAACGTCACACTTGTCTAAATGCAGATAACACTCTCCTTTTAATTGCATGTAACAGATAGAGTGAATAGCCAGGAATGCTGCACAGATAAACATTTCTGTAAGGTATACTTAATACATGAGTAACAAATCTTTTATTTTTAACTGCCTGGAAATATTTTTTAGGTGAGCTGAATTAAATATTCACTTCTAGCTTTTCCAAAAGTCAGTTGATCAGCACAAAGCCAGCAGCCATATCACCCTGCAACTCACAACTGGCAACCCACTGAAGCTAAGCAGGTGTGAGCCTGGTCAGACCTCCTGGGAAAAACTAAGGTTGCTACTGGAAGAGGTGTTAGTAAGGCCAGCAGGGGGCGCTCACCCTGCTGTCCAGGTGGGTCCTAATGCCCCAGTATAGTGCTGGAAACACTATGCTGTAAATAAGCGCCATCCTTCGGATTAGATGTAAAACCGAGGTCCTGACTCTCTGTGGTCATTAAAAATCCCAGGGTGTTTCTTGAAAAGAGTAGGGGTGTAACCCCAGCGTCCTGGCCAAATTTCCCAAGCCTCATAATAATCCCCCTCTATGAATTGGCTACATTACTTTGTTCTCCTTTCCCCCCTCCCACTCTGACGGCAGGCGGAGCATCGCGCCGGTTGGAGTATTCTCGGTCGCATTTAATGGATTCAAAGATTTGGTTCAAACCACCAAATGGAGACTGGTGTGCCGACAAGCGGACCCTGCTGATGTGGGATTAACGCTAGGAAAGAGAGAGTTGATCAGCACAAAGTAGTTAATGTCTACTTTATCTTCAGAAAAGGTTATACGAATAATCTGCTAATTATTTATACTGTACTCTATATCTGCACAGCATTTCAACATATACAGTACCTGGATCCAAAGAATAACCTCTTGATATGAGAAAGAAAATACACTATTTTAGAAGACGAAATCAACACAATGCATGGAATTTTTAAATGTAAATATCCTAAATGAACCTTTACAAGTACAGTGTGACGAACTGGGAAGAAATAGGTGGCCTCATGATAAGGGCTATGCAGAGTTTTCCTGAGTTGACAGACTCTGACTACAATGCAAGACAGAATCTCCAAGGTTATAAAGTTAACAGTAAAGGACAGAAGATGACTTATATTAACACAACTGCAATATTGCAAAAAGATTTCATCAAATTCACTAGCTATAGCTCTGAGAGGTGTTGTTGGATATAATTGACTGTTCAATTGTGGAATTAGACTTGCCAAGGATGAATGGCATACTAGGATAAAGGTCAACTGTTTTCTCTGATAGTCTGAAATAACTGAAAGCCAAGAAAAATGTGGTCTGCCAGGACATTCTTTACCATGACCTTGATCAGAATTACAAAATTAAACCAGGTCAATCAACAAACTATCATATTTTATTAAAATCTTTGAATTATTCAGTTTTTTGTAATCCAAGTCATTCAAGTTAAATTCAATATAATGTAAATTAATGAAAACAAATTCTGCTTAAAATTTAAATTATTTCAGCACATGCAAAAGCACTCTCAGATCCCACAAAATGAATGCAAAAAACAATGCAAAAATATTTCTAGAACATCTCCATAATGTTCAGCGCTGAAAATGAAATCAAAGGGCAATTTCCTGGTTGTGAGATTAAAAAAGATGTAAGAAGTCTTCATTTAATTACCATTTAAAATTAACATTTTATATTCTTTATATTATTTTAAGAGCAAGACATTCTCATTCACCGTTTCAATTCAATTTAAAACATAGAAACTACGTGGAATTAGACATATTATTCCTTGAACTGTACTCATTCCTTTTTAGTCTTAAAGACATAAACAGGTCAGTCCAATTAACTAGAACTAATGGCTGCAGAAGTGGCCATCCAGTCTCATCCTTGTTAACCAGCACATCATCAGTTTCTGACGCTTGGAACACTTCTTTGACCACTTAAGTAGGAGACTAGTACAGTTAAGTACTTAACTAGAGATCATTGGAAATGGAAATGTGTATACCCTACAGATTTCAAGGATCACAGATGGCCAATTCAGTCTATTATTAAATCAATTCCTTTAGTAATTTGATCAAAACACATGTTCCAAGGTGTTTTCAAATTGATTCAAGGGTAACATACAAGACCTGCTGGACTGAGGCTGCCCCAGAGTAGGGTTGGACTCCACTCACTATTGCTTTATAGTGAGTTCTAATTCTCTAGCCTTACCAGAATATCAAGCTTTTTGTGTCCTCGGCTCCCATTCACTTATTCTAATTTTACCCTTCCTGCTTCCACCTCGTATTGACTTCTTTAATTTTATCCTCTGTATCTATTTTGTTTCTAAAGCAGTATTTCATTGTCCTTTCCCTCGCCCAAGCTACACAATTTGTGCCTTCCTCCAGTTTCCCCAATTGTGTAGTGCCTTTTACCTTTCTCACTTTTCTCCCCCCTTCCCTCTGGTAAGCGTTATAGGAGAGTATAAAGGGATAAAAAACCTCCAGATTCAGAGACAGTTTCTTCCCGCACGATGTCAGATTACTGAACCCTATCCCGACCACTAACTAAACTCACATTACTACACCTACATTAATATTCACACTGATGTGTTTTTTTTCTCTTCTCACACTGCTTGTCTGACTTGTTTTTTTTTAAGTTGTATGTTATGTAACTTGTTGTTGCTGCTGCTGCTATTCTGTGTTTATGTTTCAGTGATTCCTTAACATCTTTGTATCGGAGTACACACTTGTGCTGCATATGACATAATAGTTTCCTGCAAAGGGGAACACAGATAAACATAATCCAGGATAAGGAGTTCAGGGAAGGCAAAGTGCACTTCTAACTGACCAGAGTGAAGATACTTTCAATTGTCACCCACCTTCCAGTGCGCTGTAGCTCAGGACCTCCGTGACCCCCATGTTCCTCAGGTTCCCCAAGTGCAGCTGTGCCATTAGGCACTGCAGGCATCTTACGTTTCTCCTGTTTTAAAAATACATTATTGTGGGTTCTGTATCTATGGTTACAGGAGTACTCTAAAAGCTATACTAGTGTGTGCTAAATTGCTGAGATTTGTTTTTATTTCTTCTCCATGGAAGTATATGTACTACTGATATCCATGACCAGACTGAAATTCACAAACAAGGCTGGTTTATATGATTGGTGCAGAGCAGTGTGGGTACAATCAAATCAGTAATACCTGAGAGGGCACGTTTTTTGGTGGCTCAATTCTGATGGATGGATCCCACTCCCCAGGAGGCAGCACTGTCACTTGGTCAAGAAATTCGTCGATACCAGCAACTAAGTCATTACGATCTTTTGCTTTGTAAGCCACGTCGTGGAAAATCTGAGATTCAGAAGAACAAAAAAAAATTATGCATATTGTTGGTTACAATGAATGTTCTTACACTTCTTATATTAATTAATTACTATGCTGGGAACTGACAGAACAAAATTCCTTAAAGTATAAATAAAATGAACAAGTAAAGGTTGGTTCCATGCTGAAAAGAGAAGAAAAGAAGCACAACGTCTCGGCTGTGGAGCCTTCTTCGGGTGTCAATAAATACATTGAGAAGAGCAAAAATCCAGTTTAACATTTTACATTCTAAAAAAAAGTCTTTAAAATTAATAACTGAGAACTTTGAATAATTATGAAAATCAATCAATTCAGTGTGTACTGTATATTCACAGACTAGTCAGCGGGACGCAAATATGTCGATAAGCGGAACACAGAACAGAACAGAAATGGTTAAGTGGCGAGTACATTTGGACAATGAAGGAAGCTCAACTGGCTTTGTCCCCAGAAAGCTGAAGTTTCAATGCTTTGTTTTGCCCTGTCTAATAATTGGGCCCCATTGCCTCAGCTATGTGTGAACACACCGTCTGTTCATCGCTTCAAATTCAACACTGAGACTGTCCGTAAGAAGCACATGTCTGAACACTGTCTGTTCTATTGTTTTGCAGTCCTACCAGTCTTGCTCATATTAAGTATGTTTGTTTAACCCCATCTTCACACTGGCAGCATATCAAGGCTGCAGATTTGGATATTTGCTCAAATTATTGTGTTATGTTAAATTATATAATTGTAATCAAGGAACAAGCGTCTGCTGTGCAGCATTTCTCAAGAAATGAATACAAAAGTGCCTTTCAACATTTTCTTGAGATCTTTCAAAGGATGAGCGATGATGCCACACATCTGTGCACAGTGTACCAAGATTTGCTGCATGCAGAAGTTCTGTGTTTACTCACTGTAGATCAAAAATCAAATCCAAGATCAGCATCATAGATTTGGAAAAACAATTATGATATTCCCAAAAACTAAGTGCACAGTATTTACTCAAGCACGGCAAATACTAAATACTGTGAAATCTTTAAAATCTATGGAAAATGCCTTTACCTTCAATGAGTCCTTTGCTCAAAAACAGTACACAGAGGGAGCCTAACACAATATGACTTGAGTGAAGTTCCAAATTTCCAATTTAATATACTTGTATTTGTGCTGCTTTCTGAGGCAAGATTTACTTTCCATAAGTATGCTTTATTACTGTACATATCAAATTAGTGGGCATCAGTTTTTGACTTGTTTTACAGTTTTGCCTTGCTCTCATGGAGTTTAAAAACAAACATTTTTAAAGGGATAAAAGCAATCAAGGTCTCCCTCATCGTTGCTGCTCTAACTCATAATTCTCCATAACATCACTTCCTGAAAAACTGTGAGGACCACAGTCCCCCTCTCTGTTGCTCACAACATCTTTCTCCATCTCTCCTTCACCTCATTTCCACTTTTGCAGTTCCCCCTTGGTTAACTCCTCTCTCCTCCGTATAATCATCCTCATCCTATGGCCAGGCAGTTGGCACTCAGCTAAGTGGGTTAAGCCAAAGTTTCTTATCCCCAACTCCTCAAGAAACATTCCTAAATGCATTTTCTTTATCACATGATGTTATTTCTTGTGAAGAAATCTTAAATTGCATTGCAAATACATTTGAAGACCTTCTTGAGTAGCTTCATTGAAACTTGACAACTCCAAAACAATCATATCAAGCTCACATGTATTTTTTATGATGAGCTGTAAACAGAATTTCATAACATTGTAGCGGCAATGCTTGTTAATAAGACAGAATTAAGTGTTGCGGTGCTTTCCCAAATGAGGCCCCATCTCTCTCTTCATCTCTGTGGTGCAGCCACAGAGAAGCTTTTCATGCAGGCTGATTTAAAGATGTTTTCTTTTGATGAGGGACAGCTCCCAAAGGGGGATGCACTTAGCTAAGCCTGGCTATCATGATCAATGGTCATCCATTGACGCCTATCTGTCTAAGGAGTGACATCTGGACTGCATTCCTAAGTGTCAGGAGTAAGTGACTCATATCTCACCTTGATCAACCAATCAGGGACTGGTAGGGCCGAGTAACCCATGTGGGACTCTGATGCCCATGGAACTTTCAGCCAATGAATGAGCTGAAGTTCCCCCAGGTAAAAACAGGCAACACAGAGCTCCAGGAGAATTCTGTGGACTTTTCTAAAGGGAATTCAAAGGAGAATTCCAGGGCAGGACGGCCCAGGAGCAGAAAGCTCCCAAGGGCAGGACATTCTCGCAGCGTGCCTCCTGACCATCCTGAGACTCAGCCCAGACAACCACAGAATGGCCAGTGTGTCCGAGTGCCAGAACTTTCCTTTGTTCTAAGAGTTTAGAGCGGAGGTTGCCAGAGAGTAACCAGAGGATCCACCTGAGGTTAGCACCAGCAGCAGGCCTCGTGAACAGGTCGGAACTGTGGACAGCTGAATCACTATTCAGAACTAGCTCTTCATCAGGAACGAACTGGTCCTCTTCCTGACTTGCTGGGACCCACAGTCATCTTTTCTCCTGTGCACAAACTTTGCTAGTTAAAGCCAACACTAACTAGCCGGTCAGTGAGCATCAGCAGCGCACCGTCGCAAGCCGCACAGCACAGCCTGGCACGCAGCCAGAGAGCGCGGATTGGACAGCAACAGCCTGCAACTGTTTCTTTGAGTCCACAGGAGATCTGAATCCCCAGAGATTGGATGAGTATTCAACTTCAATGCATTACAGCTCGAGAATTCAATTGATATCCCAACCAGTTGATATCAATTTAATTCCTAAGAGTTATGTACTTGTTTTGAGTATCCAATGTAGAAGTTATAACCAAGTTCATTTATGAAACTGTCTAAATGAATGATATACTGAACGTATGTCCTCTTGATATATGTAACACTTCATAACTGATTGAATATATACCTTTTGTATTCTGATAACCCTCTCGATAAGATCTGTTAGGTTTATATGCATATTTTATGTATTAATAAATGTATCCTCGTGTATTAGTACCCGTGTGGGTGTGCGTTGTTTGAGTTATATCGCATGGTTGGATTCTAAGGCCATCAAAAAAATCATTTTGTGATTTACGGCTACAATTTATAATTGTCCCCGTAAATGCCCAAACCCTACAGAACTGGTGCCTTCAGAGAGCACACTACAACATTTTCTAACAATTAAAAAACATCAATTATAAAAATGCCACAGAAATACAAACATTAACACTTATGCATAAAACGCAGGTAATTAGTATTATTTAGTATTTACTTTCTTAAATTTCATGTGAAAGAAATGCTTTCTTTAGAAACATTAATCGGATGTCCCCCTTTAACAAGGTTAGTAGTCTCATGCAGGCTAATGTAATGTAACCCGCCTTTCAACCTTTGGAGAAACAAATACAAAGCTCTCCTCTGTTCAAGACTGTTCAAATGGAAGAGAATGAGCGTTTGTTATTGAGGGAGGACAAGCAGTGATCAGGAATATCTGAGGACTTCCTGCAAAACGCCTCACACAAGCAAAGATTTTCACATTAAGGTTTTCTGATGAAGGTGTGCTTACCTCATCTGTCATTAGAGTTGCAATTGATCTGCCAATCTCATGGTACTGTTGAAGCTTCCCAAGGGGCCCCAAAAGGATAAACAGGAATCTGAAACAGGCCAGAGAGTAAGGAAGAAACGTATAAAAATGTGTTACTTTCTAGAATGCTTATTATAGAATCTGGCACCTTCATTGCAGCTTGTCTTTTGTTTTACTATAACCTAATGAAGTTTACTTACTCAGCCCTCTCCTACACTTTCGTAGGATTACAAATTTGAACAACTGCACAAATTGACAGACAGAATAAATAGATGAGTTCTTCACAAGCCACCACAGACTCTTAAATGTATCAATTTAATATTTCTCCTGTACGTCCTAGTGATGGACAATGCCTAAGGCTTGTCTTTACTGCAGGGCATTTCACTTTTGTGATCAGTTACATTGCTGAACGCTAAGGAACCTTGTTGAGTAGGTAATAAACTGAGCATGTTGTTAAATTGCTACTAGTATCTGTGTTGTGCTGTGAAAAACAACAGCCCCAGTTAAAAATATAAGAATAGTTTGTATGCATTATGTGCTTTCCATGCTTGGCCTCTCTGTTTACATACTTTAATAACCTACTATATAAAGGTATCATTGCAAACACAAATGTTCTGACAACTAATTCCTATACTATAAATAAATGTGTATAAGAATCAGCAGTGTAGCCTGAGCACGTGGGCATTGTAACTACTAGAATGAAATTTAATATTATTAGTGGTGTTACTGGACCAAGAGGTGGTGCTCTTTCCTCTAGACCGGAATTTTCAGATCAATATTCCAGTGTAGTTACTGGGAATGCTGTGTTGTAGAAGGTGCTGTCCTTCAGATGAGACATTAAACTGAACTCCTGATTATGTGGTCATTAAAGATCTCATGATAATGTCTGTGTCATGGATATGTTATCCTTAAATTTGCAAGGAGTAATTTCTCAGTTCACTACCTGATGAAATTCTAGCATCAATTAGCTACAACCAAATGGGCAAAACAGACCACCTATTTTTTTTAAGTATGTTTCATTTGTGAGTGGGTGTAAGTTTTCAATGAATAAGTCTCATGTACAAAAACGGAGTGCATGATCCTTTAACAGAGGAGCACCAGCAATCCAGAAAATCAGAGCTCACCTGGTTGGAATTGGGACTTCAGCCAGGCCTGTCAGCAGAACTGCAGGTGACAGGCGTACAAAGGCCACCACAGGCCGATCAAGAAATTCCAGTTCACCAACCAAAATATTAGAAGCTTCTGCTCCGGGTGGAATCTTTTTCATAAAGTGCAGGTCCACCTAATTGTACAAAAATGGAACAAATATTACTGTCACCTTTTCACAAAAGCCAATGCTGAACCTTCCTAGAACAGTGGGGATATTACAATCAGAGTAATCAAATGTAAGTCTCACAACCAGAATTCAACCAGAATTGTGTTGCTTAAAGTACAACATCAGTTCTATACAATATACAATATACAATATACAATATACAATATATACTCATTCCATTGGCAGGATTGAAACTATACAATTTCAGGAATTTCACATATGTCTTCAATACAATAAACCTTTGGTTTAACAGTTCACTTTACCAGACTTTGGACTGAAATCTACCAAAGTGGAATTTTGTAAAATCAGAAAGACTGAACGTTCCCCGCAATAATGAAAAAATTCACAACCAATAAAACAAGGTAAAAATTAATATTACATAAGTGTAAATTTCAGGAATAGGAACAGGAATCAATAGAGTCCTATAGGGGTAGACCAATCGGTGTAGGTGTGGTTGTTTTGTTGCTTTAGAGAATTTTATACAGTATATTATTCCAACATATGAAATTAAGGGCTTTTGTACATTTATGAGAAAAAAGGAACAGGAACAATTTTCATTTACATTGTTGACTGCAATTGGAAAAAAAATGTCAAAAGATATTTTGACTATATTGTATAGTACATTTATCTGCATTTTATTATTTCATTATAGTGTGTTTGTGGGCTGAAAATATGCCCAATTTGTGATTCATTGAACATATCTTCTGCTCTATTAGTCCAAGGGTCTGCTGAAATACTTAATGTATCTCCGATATGCTTAAAAGGTCACTGGTGTAAATACACTTTACAGATTTAACCATATCCAGAAAAAACACTCAGAAATCTCCAACACTGGTCCTAGATAGCCTAATCCAGCAGATTTTATAGTTCACCATTAAATCTCCAGTTTTTAAAGCTATAGAACAATTCCATCATCATCAATTAAACACGTGACTTGATAAAATCAACAATTTAGAGGATTGAAATTAAGTACTCTTCAGCTCTCAAGTACCAGATATATTTGAACTGAACAGATTACTTGCTTTATTCATCAATCGTTTACAGATGCTCACCATCTTTAAAAAAACAGGTGAGCTGTAAGAGTGACTGGAATCGAACTTTCAGGATCTGGGATTAGAGAACCTATCTTAAAATTAAATGTGGATTTCAACAAGAAAATCCTTTACATAATTAATCCTTCATTGATGGGGAATTGAGGCCGGGCCTTCAAATTAAACGTCAAGAGAGTAAAGTGGGAATAAAATTATACCAAAAAATATCATTAGGCGATGTGTTTGGGAAATATCATGAAAACACTATACAATATGGAGAAGTGCTGAGTGCACAATATCTAACAATATTATAATGGTTTACTATGATCTTTTTAAAATATGCATCTCCTCAAGGAAACACATCCTAGACTGCAGCTCCCTTATCTGATTTGTATTCTGCTCCTGCCTCACGTGGATCTGCACTGCGTCAAAACTAATAGCTTGCTATAGAGTGGCAGGCAGAACAGCAGAGCGCAGAATCTGATTGCCTCTCTAATAGCACACTGCCTGACATTTGAAGAGAACAGATCTGTTTCTTTATACTAGGAGAGTAAAACACTATTAGTCTGTCAATTATGTTTTCAATCATGGGGAAGAAGTTATGTAACATGCATATGGATTACATAACACTATTTTAATCCCTAAATTTTCACCACAACATTGCATGATCAAATCGTCCGTCCAGTTATTTTCTGTCTAGACAATAGGGAAGATTATGCAAATACAAACAGAAAGCACCTTCATAAGCAAAATCATATCCTACAGAGTAAACATAAAAATCTAAATAACCTGTGAACCTATGTAACAGACGCACTCTATCAAAGGTCACTGAAGACCTATGTACAGTTTGTTATTTAGGTATAAATAATGACCTATTACAGGTCATTGTTTAGTGTTGTAGGACAAAAATATTAATTATTGCCTCTGATTAGTTCAACAACATGCAGAAAGAACTTATTTTCTTGGGCTTTTTATTTTGTGAAATGTTTCATAAAGTGTTTTATGGTGCATCAGTATTATTACTAAATATGAATTGAGATATTATTTTACTTTAATTGTAATGAACAGTAAATGTATTCATTTTTTCACCCCTTTTTTCTCTTTAGTACGGTTCTAAATTTGACAAAGACACTGCAACTAATAATGAGGAGCTTCTGATTTCATTCCTGTGCTTTATCTTCTTTTTACCCAGCAACCTTGCTAGGAAACTGAACCTGAATATGTAGTAACTGAGGCTGCGGTCCCTCTAATAGAGCTTAATTAGGTGTTTTCACTTCTTGCCGCTCCATGATGAGACAAATACTCCCACAGAAATGACAAATAACACATGAATACTGCTGTCCTCGGCCAACATTAGTAACTGGATTCCAACCACTACTGTCAAATAGGTCAGACAGCATTTCACACGCTGGTTAGCTTTGAGACACATATTATGCTTTTCTCAGAAGACGAAAGTAGAGTTTTCAGTTAGCTGGTGCTCAAAGAATAGCACTGCCCACAGCCTGGCAGAAATTAAAGAGATGGTGTGCTGAGGTTTGTGTAATCCCTGTCACACTCGGCTAGTGGATTAGCCCAGATATAGAAGCATGACATCAGGTGTATAAAAGCCCAGGCTGCTCTCCAAACAGGAGTCTATACCTACAGAACCGCTCAAGAAGGGGAAGCAAATCAATGAATTTCTGTATGACAAAATTGTACTTCTTTGCTCTGTTTCTCCTGTCGCAAAAATGGTTTTGCTTTGCATATGGCTACACAGACCATTAAAAAAGTAAGAAACCAAGTAATGTGATCACTAATGCGATTTCCATTAAATTGATTCAAAAATTATCTATGCCAATAAAAATCTCAAGAACTCTTTTACTGTGACCTGGGATGGTTTCCCGGACATTCTTTGGCAACAAATCATTATACTGTATTACCTTATGACAATTTTATTTCTTTGAGTTTCTCAAGTTTTTGATGCATCTGGGCTGTGAGTTCCACAGATGTGATGCAGCACATAAAGAAGGCTCTGTTGCCCATTGTGAGAAGCCAGGTGTGCAGCAACATCAGAAGTCCTGACTCAGCAAATCGCAGATGAAGAGGTACAGCCCTTTTGCAATAAGCCCTTAAGTAGCTTGTAAAGAGATCAGTCGGTGTCTTATATTTGAGCAGAAGAACCTTAATATTTGCTCCAAATTTCACAGAGAGCAAATATAATTTACAGAGGACGGCAGCTGTTGCTGATGCAGACCACTGATAGTCATTAAATGTGGCTCAAAGTTGTTGCTATGCTGAAGCCAATTTAGAACCAAAGAAGATAACCCCGTGTGTAAGGCATTATAGAAGTCTAATCATGATGAGAAATAGGCATGTATCAATATTCCTATATCGAATACACAGAGCAAGGATCTTTAACTGAGCCATGTTATGTAGGTAGAAGAAAGACACCCCTGGAACATTTCTAATCTTAGCTGCTCTTAGCTCTTAAACGACAGCACGTGATCAAAAGTAAAACCAAGCTTTCTGACTTCCATCAAGGGCACTGTCAACAACATACCGAAGTCACAGAGTTTTCAAAAGTAATATGGTAAGAGTAAGTGCAAAACCGCAGTCTTGTCACAGTGCAGATTAAGAATCCATGTTGTGTGCACATGTGAAACTGCAGTAGCAGCATCAGACTTGGTCTGAAAGTTAACCTGAATGTTATCAGCACAGCCCAACATGGTGAATAATCTGATTAAGAAGTAACATGTAAAGGTACTAAAGAATAAAAGTAAAAATAGTATATACAATAGTATATACAAACCCATAACCTGCCTTAATTTATTTCCTCTATAAAACAAAGCATACTTTCACTGAACCCTATCAGTTCTAACATTTCAATGCCATTCCAGTTATTTTCCTTCATGGGGCAGGCCGTAATTTAACAGCATGTTAGTACATTATTTTGCTCTCAGATCAACTTTCAAGTCTTTGAGATAAAGCCCTATAACACTTCAACATAGCCTGTATCAATAGACTTAGTATAATCCTGCAGGCTAAATCTGTTAATTCTATCACAATTAACACCATTCATATCCCCTTTCATATTTGCTAGCTCTGCAATGTGAATTCACATGTGCATTTCCAACAATTTCTAAAAGACTTAAAACTAATATCGCTGGGGCAAGTTCAGGTTCTCATGGGAAAAAAGATCAACACAGTTCCACAGATACAGACGTCCTGTATACCTGATCTATGGCTCTTCTTTAGTCACTGTTTTGAAGCTTACAAAACATCCAGTGTGCTGTTGAATTTTTTTTTATTATAATGCTACATACCTAACAGATAAAACTGTAGTTAGTGAAATTAACTCTAAATTCTCTGATTATGTTTTTAAGAGGAGGAGCACTTTCTTTAAGTTATAGGGTGACTGTACTTCATGTTTTAAGCCTTAACAACAACTGTATAGTTACAGTACACATCAAATGTCAACTGCAGCATCTAGTTGAGAAAGTCGACAATCAATGGTACAAATGCCTGCAAACAAAACTCTTAGCATTTTTTTCCACTTATCAATTCACTAGGAAGTATTTTGTACTGCTAAACTGGGATGTTTGTGTAACTCTGAAACTACATTCGTATTACCTTGTGGCTTTCTGAACCCCAGAGTTCACTTATTTGAGTTTATTAAAAAACACTGTGGCAGTGATAATTCCAACAATTAAGGAACATTTTTGTTCTTATTTCATATGAATGACACATCATAACCATTACTTACCATGTTCACAAGTGTCAGCACTTATTGTCGTTTGACAACATTCTTGAATCAGGTGCAGTATAAGAGGCAAGGGGGCATAAATGTTCTCTCCTTGCTTGTAGTCTAGTTTGTGTCACTTACAGTGTATCGAACTGCATCACATTAACTTCACCGATTTATTCAATCCTCCCTCTAGGTTCAGAGGTTGGGTACATCTGTTTTGTCTGGGGTCATACTGACCTAAAGTCTCAAACACAGTGAAACTGGGGGGGTTAAATTGATTAAATGTTTTATTTGCAAAGCTTTTCTCAAGGGTACAGGCTACATGTTTTAAATAAACAGAAAATCCTATTACAGGGATTAAAGGATACATTTAATTGCATCACAATGTGATACATGTAAGGATACATGTACGTTTTAACAACAAAAAAAAACCCAAGTCTCATAAAATGAGGCTCTTTATATGAGCAGTCTGTGAGTACAATAATGAAAATGTGCAACAGTATTCATGCGAGTTGACTTCTTTCACTACTGATTACAACTATCAGAACATTCTAGGTTCACTGCCAATCACATTTCTTACATGGCCAATAAATGTGGATTAATGATCATGGAAACAAAATGTTTCTAAATGTTTCTTTAATTCCTTATAAATTCTTTAACACGATTTATCCCCAATAAGATACATACAGTATTGTACAGTATATTAATTGTTCTTGCACTCTGGTTATTTGAAGAACAATTTTCAGTGCAAATTGAGAGAACATAACTGAGTTTACACAGCACATCCTGGGCAGAAACAACACGTGTTGTTTGCACAGGTGCTCTTTTTGTTTCACATTAAGTACAGCTGCTTCTGCTACTGCATAAAGTATAGAAAATAATCTTGCATATTTCTTTCTAATGCCAGTTGGTGCAGAAAGAGATGTTTGCCTGCATGAAATATAATGAAAAAAGAGCAATTGGATGAGGATTGCTATTGGATGAGGTGGTGACAAGTGTCTTGCCCAGAATTTCCGGGAAAAGTAGGCTTTGATACAGTTTGCCAGTGTTACATTTTAAATTATGTAAACTAAATTCGCTGGAGCAAGCCCAGTTTCTTATGGGAGGGGGGGGATGAACAACACAGCTCCACAAATATATATATATATTTTAAAAAATTATAATCCTGTATACCTGAGTTTAAATCTGAAATATTTTCGATCAGTCTACGATCAAAAGGAACCATTGCATTGCTTGTCAGCACTTCTACAGTATAACTGAGTTGAAGAAGATGGCCAATGGCCATCAGGCATTTAAGTGTTGGCAGGTATAGGTTTGGTGTCAGCTTATGCATTTTGTCTACTCATTTGCAAGAGTTGCAGTCTAGTAGAGTTGCAATGTAGGGTCTAGAGTTGCAACTTTCTGGACTATGGTCCACTTTAGGACGTGCCTAGATAAGATTTTGCAGAAGTGCATCTTCACATTATGACCTTGGAGACCTTCATTTATTTATACAATTTTCCACATCCCCTAAGGTTTTTCAGGAGCTTCTCCAATCTGTTAATCTCCAGAAGTATTCCTCCACACATGCAAAGAAGGATCCTCAGCTTAAACATAATTTTTTGCATATTGTTTTTCAGTGAAGAAATCATCTGTAATTGTCCCTTTACAACTCTCATGCTAACACAGCTCCACAGTCTTGTTTATGCAATGTATAGCTGGATCATGCCCTTATATTTCTGTCATATTTAGGCAAATACTTCCTAAAGATAGTGTCCTGTACTTTCCTAAAAGCAGTTAATTTGTCTCTTTCACATGATCTGGCCATGGTAAAATGTTTGTCAAATGCCTACCAGTTTCTGTATCTTTAAGATTCAGAGTGGTTTTTCCTTTGGATCTGTATACAGTAACAACCCAATATCAAACACGTCAAAGTTCCTGTATTCTGTTTTGCAGCTTACAACTACAAAATGGGAAAAATCTTTTAAAAAGTCACAAATGCTATACAGATAAAGACAAGTACAACTAGAACTAATTATAAACTAGTGCTGGGTCATAAAGCCCCAAAACATAACAGGAGTGTTAAGCACAACATTAGAATTGATGCATACCATCTAATGCAGGAGTTGTGGTAGCTCAGACGGCAAGGGTGTCTGGCTCCTGACTGGAAGGTCCTGGGTTCCATCCCAGGTAGGGGCATACGATGTAGCTCGCATTAATTCCTTCCAGATGGCTCCCAGGTCCACTCTGCCCCCTTTCCAAATGAGTACTGAAGGGTTATCCTTCTGGGGGTAGTAGGCTGGCTGGGGTGTGATACTGACCACAATGCCTCCACCTCTAGTGTTGGATGGTTGAGGGAAAAAAATGGTGGCACTTGCTCCCCCATTCCCCCATGGGCCTTTATGGCCTGAAAAGGGGACCTAACCTAAAATAACATCACTTTATTAACCCTTTACAATTTCTTGCATTAGGAATTATCTTTTCGCATACCCCAGCTTGCTCTCCATGAGACACACAGACAGGAAGAGAAGCTTGGGGTCAGAGCGCAGGGTCTGCCATTGTACGGCGCCCCTGGAGCAGTTGGGGTTAAGGGCCTTGCTCAGGAGCCCAACGGAGTAGGATTCCTCTGCTGGCTGCGAGATCTATCTTGTAATGCAGTTTACAAGATAGATAGTAATAACCTATCTTGTAAAGCAGTTTAATTACTTACATAGCAGAGAGGACATTTCTCCTTTTACAGGTAATGCGTTCATTAAAGCAAGTCTCTTAGCCATCCATTATTTGGAAACTGTTTCACAGACAAACAATACAAGGACTAGTGCAAATAGTTCAATAAGAGAATTATTTGAATAATGATGGTTCCTCTCAATGGAACTACAAGGGCCAAACCCACAGAGCAGATTTGTTCTTACCTTACTAAAATCAACAGTGCTGTTTTCTCGGCTGACATCACCTTTCCCCTCCGTGTTGGTGGGCATAGATTGTGGGGAAAACATCTGGCCTGTTTGCATTTAAGAAATAAAAAAATGTATTCTCATTTACTCTAGAAATGCATGCACATCTGAGAATATGTTGTAGCAAGCATCTAACCAGGCTGCCAATTTCGTCAAACTTTATTTTGGAGAAAGATCTTTTTTAATTAATGCTGTGTCAAATGCATATCTATCACTGATCACAATACCGCATTGCTGAAATGCGGTATTGCCTATTTTGGCAGCTTCATTTTGAAAGAACTACTGTACAGTATGTTGGATTCACACATTGAACATTTTGTAAGCTCCAGGATGGTTAACATATGTTGAATGGCTGTAGAGAATAGCTTACAATGTTCACAATGTGATGTCAAAGCGACTAAGAGTTTGCTGATTGCAAATCCAGCATTCTGGTTCAGTTTACTAGATTGAAACTCCAAGATTGATACAAATATGAAATTAGCCCAAGGATGGCAGTGTGATCAGAGGAGAAAAGATTAGTATTTAGTATGCCAGCCATTCACCTGCACTAATCTCAACATTTGATTTGTGCGTTTGCAAGTGGCAACTGTCACAAAATTTCACGAGGAGCATAAGGAATATATTAGCACCCTGCATAATGTCTGCCAGTAAAAACTGCAAATGCAATCCAAGTAGTCCACTTGAAATCGGTGACAGCACTTTAGAAGCCATCTAAACACCCACTTGCCAACAATAAAGAAACAACAAAATTGAAAGCAGGTTAAGTAAAGTGTTCTGTGTACATTACAAATTCAAGGTTATTATGTACAGTACATGAATGGACATCATTCAGTGCAGATTTCATGCTCCATTAATACCAGAATATTAATGCTTGTATACTTGCTTCCTAAACATAATTCCGGTGAAAGGTATTCAAAATGCACAGATCCAAAACGATCCAATAAGAAATATGTTTTATTATTTTAAATATGAAATATGTATTCTCTTACAACATGAAAACCTGAATTGATCAGGAATGTCACAAAAGTTAAACAATGGGAAGAAATAACTTACCTTGATTATTTTTATAGTGGTATAGTGGCAAAAATGCAAACATACAATATACAAAAAATAACTACAGGTACCACGTATTGGTACCTTGCCTATACCTACCTGTTTAACCATTAGGTTAGAAATAGAAAACTGATTGATTCCAATCAGTCATACTGGGACTTGTTTTATCTTTTACAGGAAAAATTTATATTAATTCAGGAAGTTAGGAAGGCTGGACAATCTTTTCTGTCATTTTTATTTCTTACTTTCTGAAAAATTATTTTAAGAAGTAAAGGCCACTGATCACCAACACAAAAATGCAATTTCAGAATACCGCTTTAATCAATTATGTTTGAGGAAGGCGTAGGGAAAAAGTCTGCCAAATTAAGTTGCCTGCATCCGGATCCTCTTCCCCATCCACAGGCTGCATATCAGGGATTTCTGTAGGCTTTAGCCTGAGTTTGTTTATCTGCTGCTTGTGCAGCAGTTTAGCAGAAGAGAGGTGAGCAGAGGATGGTAATTGGTGTGATGAAGAGATGATGATACACTGAGAGCAACACACAGGCCATGGAAAACAGGACTTAACCTGACTGCCACTCCTATCACCACCTTTAACTGAGCCCCACGGGTGGGACATTAGAGCAGTGCACAGAGCTGAGCCTAGTGGAGACAGACACCAAGACAAAAGAGGAGACAGAGCAGTTGACTGAAAAAGATGAAATACATTGAAATGAAATGGTTAATGCAGAAAGTCATAAACAGCCAAGAAAAGAGGACATTGTGATCCTTCAGCTAAATAAAGACTCCATGTGCTTATACACAATACATACATGTACAGTACACAGGCATGTGGACATGATAAAAAATAAATGAATAGCATCATTGAAAATACCAGAACTATACTATAGTTTCAATTTGCAGGATACATATATATAGACAGGTGAAATTATAACAAGTTTATATACCATGTTCAGCATTGCCTGTTTAATAAATCCTGTTTTGCATTTAATGAAAAAAACGGTTGAACAAGAAAAGGGGCTCAAGCTTATTAATAACAGACAACTGAATTCTATTAATTGACCCCCCCCCCCCCGAAAAAAACCAAACAAACAATATTTCATCTTTGTATAAAACGTGTTCCCTGCCTTGAGAAACAAAATTCAAAGTCTTCTTTCCGGAAATCTGAAACCTAGGCAATTCACCATAATTAGGCAGAATGTGAACTGAAGCACATTTACAGGCCTGTCAGCAAAGCTCACCATTTTTATCCATGGAATGGGGCTCAGATTGTTTTTTGCCAATATCTGCAAATGAGCGAACAATGGGAATCCGATTACTGAGTTTCTTCTGGTTCTGGTGGTGGTGCTGCTTCAAAAGAGCGTGTCGCACCTTCTTGCGCACATCGTCAGACAGCTGCCCCAGAGACTCCTGCTGATCCAAGATCATGTCTGGGAAAAGAACAAGACAACACCAGTGAAGTTTCAAACAGTTTTTGTTTCTCTGCATTTTGACGACTTTTGGACACTGCCTTTGCCTCCAAAAAGTCAATGATTTTGCATTCCTGAATGCAAAAAAATACAAGTACCTTACAAGAACATTGTATAAAAAATTATAATAAATTGGGATCTCTAGACATATTTCTCAGATAAGACAGGGGCTAAAGAGATAGTTCGAACCAGAGATGTCAGGATACACACACGGCCTCCTCTCAATGTTCTTGAAACATACAGTAAGAAGGCTGATAAACAAGGAGGGCTTGTGTGTGCGTCACAAGTGTGTGCTCTGTTTAAAGCTCTTTGGGAACATTTGGAGCGAAAAGTGATATATAAGTATAATGAATGCTTATTTTTAATTATTTAAACCTGATTGTACTGCGGCTTTTTAAGATCGCTATTCACTCAACAGAAAGTGTGCCATAAAATAAAAAACTCACATTTTTTACTTTGAAATTGTTTATTACAGACCAAAATATTTTTCCTTATCAACTGCAAAGTCAATTAAATTCAAAATGCGTCGTTCGTAGATTGACGATGAACAAAATAATAAATGTAACAGAAATAACAGAGGAGAACTGCTTTAGATAAGTGTTTTATGTTAAAATGGAGCATTACGAATACAGGTCAGTATTAGGGCAAAATAAGAATAATTTTCTTGTAGCTTTTAAACTGTCATATTTCAGGATTTGACATCTAGTGCATTTAAAGAACACTGACCTTTAAAGGTCTGAGGAGAAAACAAGACTTATCACAAAAAGCACACCTGACTGGCCTTTCTGTGCTCATAACCTTTCTTGTGTACTCTTTGAGTGACTTATTTTTATTACCATCTTCTTCAAAAAGGCTGTGACACATGCAAGGCCAAGCACTGCCTCACTTTAGATCTCCTCTGCTTATTATTGTGTAAATCAAATGTCACTGTATTTTTCTGCAGTAATCTACTTGAACTGATTTTTTTACATTATTTCAAGTTGCAAAATCAAAACTGACTTCAAAAGACTGGAATCCTCTCACAAATTCTTTTGAATGTATAATTGCTAGCTTTTCTCTACACCCAATATGACATACACAAATTCATAATTAGCTCATACATGCTTCAACCCCACAGGAAGGGTGAAGCCTCTACAACTGTGCTCTGAAAGTTGCACTTTGAAAGTAATCCATCTTCTTCTGACTCTTGCAGGCCGCAGTGCAAAATAAGAGCATTCGAATATAGAAGGGAAGAGATATGCAGCTCACACAGGTGTCTGGCCAGCTACAGAGTTCAGTACAGCATGATGAGTTAAGAATACCGTGGTCAGCCAGGTGTGGTTCTGCTTGGTGAACATCAGAAACACCAGGTTAGTGACAACTTTGATTCTGAATCTGCACTCTGCATGGATAGCTTAAGAAGTTGAAAAGCTCCAGAGGTCTATCAGATATTTCATACTGCATTTGAAAAACAATTGAACAAATGTGCACTAAAGGATAAGAGCACCATGTTACAACCTTTTCTGTATCTTTTCAAATTACACCTTTTAATAGCTTTATCACTGCACACATCAGTTCCATAAACACTGGCTAGATGAAGTTCAAGAGCTACAATATAATAAAAACCCAACTACAATGTTAGTTCCACCAGTCTGTAAGGCAAGTTAATCTTTTGGTTTTTGCTTTGAGAATGTACACTGTTTTAAAAGGTTCCAATAGCCTTATCTGCAAATCCAAGCACAGCAACATCATTCTGTCAGCAATGGAAAATACAGCTTATCAGAGATGTATAGCAGACAGCATTATCAGCCACTTCAAGGTTCAACCACATTTCACTTGTCAAACTACTTGAAAACTACTTGTCCATACACCATGTCTGTAACTGATACACTTCAGTGGGTAGATTTAGTCACAACACTTACATTCCACACAGCACTTAAATAAATATAAAACCAATTCTGTGTAATATTAATAAAAACCCACAATCCACTAGCATCCACAAATCCACAAATTGAACCCACAATCCACCAGTACATGAAATAACTCACAGGAGGCAGTTCACCGGAAAAACAAGGGGTCTTGTGTGGTTTATTAATGTATTGCAGAAACACATCCAGTGCTAAGACTCTGGAAAGTTAAAAAGCACTTCCGAGAGTCATTTATAGATTAGATAAAAACTTTAATGGCTCGATTTCAGGAGGAAAAAGGTCAAACCTACTCCTGTCTACATCCATGGGAGTGGCGTGGAGATGGTGGACTCGTACAAGTACCTGGGAGTGCACATCGACGATAGACTGGAATGGTCTAAGAACATCGAGGCCATCTATAAGAACGGACAGAGCCGACTTTACTTCTTGAGGAGTCTCAGGTCCTTCAATGTGTGTAGTAAGATGCTACACATGTTTTATCAGTCGGTGGTAGCGAGTGCCATTTTCTACGCAGTGGTGTGCTGGGGCTCTGGGATTAGAGCAGTAGATTCCAAAAGGCTGAACAAGCTCATCAGGAGAGCAAGCTCTGTCATTGGGTCTGACCTGGACCCCTTGGAGGTAGTGGCTGAGAGGAGAATGATGTCCAAACTAGAGGCCATCATGGACAACTTCTCCCATCCCCTCTATGACAGGCTTGCAGGAATGAAGAGCACGTTCAGCAATAGACTGATTCATCCACGGTGCGACAGGGAGCACTACAGGAGGTCATTCTTGCCGTCTGCCATAAGACTGTACAACGTATCCACCTTGCGTCTTGGCAGAGGCAACATCGACAGTGACCTGTTTCTGGACTAAACGCATATACACATCTACTGCTACATCTGTTCTCTTTCTTTTTCTTTTTCCCGTTTACAACCACTTTTGTGCAATATATGCCAGGGACCTGTGCAATACATTTATATTTATATTTATATCTATGGTTACATCTATATTTATATTCATACGTGTGATACGATTTTCTGTGTACTGTTCTGTTCTAGTTTGCTCTTGTGTGTCTGGACTGTGAGTAACTCTTGTATTGTATTGTATGTATTGTACTATTATTATATAATTCGTTACACTGTGGCTGTGTTGTGTGTGTTAAGCTGCTGTTGCACTGCAATTTCCCTCACGGGATCAATAAAGTATCTATCTAAGACATTGATCAACAGCATACCACTCATCAAGGAGGATTATATAACCTTACTTAAATTCCAAACTGACCATCACTAAATTAATCAGGCAAGTTAAATGAGACCAGCTTGGCATTTCTAATGATAGCATGCATAAGGAGCTTTCTCCACAGCACGAATTACAAAAAAAAGCATTCCAAAGAAATCCATAAAGTTCACAGAAAAACAACAAAAATTTCATTACAATTATCAATGCAAAAGCTGATCGTGCTATAAAAGTTGAACAATACAATTTCAGCATAACACCATGAGTGACAAGTGGCCTATGCAGGTCAAGGTGGTGTTCTAGTTCCAGAAGAAGCACAAGCCTCAGATATTACAGCCTAATCATTTAAGACATCTTTAAATTCAGCAGGCTTTTAGAACCTAGGCTGTAAACAATAAACAATACACAATAATGAACCCTAAATAAAACCAAAACCATTTAAACAAGGTTGGTATCAATTGTTAAAAATTAAACTTTGTCCATATTAGTTTAAAAAGTTAATTTACTATGAAACCATTTACTAAATACTTATACAGTAAATAAGTAACAACCTTTAGTTCAGACAGTAAAGATTTAGTTAAAAAACATTGGATTATTAGTTTTTATTATATAGTTTATATTAATATTTATATTATTTTATTATTATAGTTTTTATTATATAGTCACAGGTTTTAGTCTTATTTAAATTTTTGTTGAATTGTGTCACAATTATGACTATAGACTGTGGTTGTTTTATCCTTAGACTTCCTCAATCCACCCATTTTCTAAGTGCTTTATTCAATCAAGGGTTGTGGGGTTGTTAAGACTTTTCATAAACACCACATTGCATGAAATATGAAAAGACATGCAAAAGACAAGTATCCCACTTCTGGAAGTTCTGTTTACTAAGGCAAATTTCAGAGGTCTGGGTAAATTCCAATAACAGTAAAACAAGCCAACAAATATAAAGTGATAGCATACTACATACTTCGGTGTTAACAAGACTGGCTGAGGGAATGAACCCCTCACTTATGAAAGATAAGCCAAGGAGAAAATGTTATAGTTGTGTTGTTCGGGGGCGAGGAAGGGGTGCTAGAAAAGATGTGTACAGAGTTGTGTGCAGCCAGGGAGCATTTATACATACTGTAGGAGAGCAGAAGGGCAACATTAGAATTTGACCTTCAACCAGACTTCTGTTAAACACCATATACGGGTCTTTATTCCAATCTATCCCAGAATCCACAGCTCTAACACCCCTCCCCCCATCCACTCACTTCACATCAGCACCGTAGCATCTCCTCTGTTGCTGGCAGCATTCCAGCTTCTTCATCCTCACAGCCGAGGCAGGCCTCAAACCAGGCAGGAAAAGATCTACCATTGCTTAATATCTATAACTGTTCTGGCTCTGTCACAACCGTATTACTATTGATATCTAACATCAGTCTCATGCCCCTGCCATGTTTATCAATTTACATGAATTGAATGTGTTACCTCAGCGTGTGCAATTCTTCTTGTTACCTCTTGAGCTGACTCACTCTGACTCGTACCTAGCCCAGACTGTTCTCTTTCCAAGCCAAGCGGCTTGAAGACATCTCATCAGTACGTGTGACTGCTTCTAAAATGTTTGCATCTGCATTGTCTGCTACTGCCGATTCTGTTTCTGAAAACAAATACAGGGCGTGCTTGAGTAGTTTCTGCGGGGGTTACAGTGGTGTTGAAAGCCATACCTGCAATCTCCTCCAGCATGTTTGCTCTCATGTCCAGCAGCACAATGCCATTGAGGATGCAGCTTCTTAGCTCAAACAGACTGTGGAGTGATAGAGTAGCAACATACGGCTTACTCCAGCGCTCCCCTCCATCCTCCACGTCCTCCTCAAACTTCAGCCATCTGCACAGACAGAAACAGAGGTTAATCAGTCTTCAAACAATCATCCAGGACCACGCAGTTTTAGGGCAGTTCCCTTTACATGTTTCAGTCAATGCATATCTTTGCCAGTCCCCCCCCTTAAACAGCGCTCTGACACTCAAAGGAAATGTATACAGCACCCCTGGAGCAGTTGGGGTTAAGGGCCTTGTGGAAGGGCCTAACATAGTAGGATTCCTCTGCCGGCCACGGGAATCGAACCAGCGACCTTCCAGCAACAGGCACAGAACAGTACATTGTATATTGTACATTTTTATCTATTACGAATATACAACAATCTATATTTTATCATTCCACACATGGATTCCAATTAAGCAATCATATTAATATGAAACCAAAATGATGGAAAAGCTTTGCTGAAATATTACAAAACTACTTCTAGCAAACTTCATAACAAGGTGATCAGGAAAGAAGCAACTGAAATAATGTGTTATATAATACTAAATATTATACTATAATACTGAAATATTATACAGCTCTGAAATATATACATGAACAAAATATATTGTTATAAAATATATATATATAAAAAACATATTCCTTAGAATGCCTCTTGTTTTGCTTTATAAAAAGTCTTATCCAGAGATAGAACTAAATCACCTTGCTGTCTCTCTCCATTCTGCCTCCTCGCCATCCCTCACGCAGATCTCATCAAGTTCTGTGAAAAGGTCATGAGGAATGTGCTCCTCATCATCGTCCTCGGTGCCCAGAATAAACTGCACTCGCTGGGAAGGAGTATCTGAAAGAAACAGAGACAAACAGCAAGATTGCTCTTGTCATGACTAGACAGGAAGTGAGATAAACGTCTTTAAACTTCAAAAGTTGCTAATTTGGCAACTGACATCTGACATTGCTAACTTATAAGACAATATAAAAGATTACTGTGCTTAACTTTATTTATAGACTTCATAGTTTCCGTACTAGGTAGTGCCTAGCAGGTGTCTGTACTAAACAAGAGTCTGCAGTCTGTACTAAACTAAACAAACAAGAGATTCTGCTAAGCATAGCAAAACCTATTGATTTCCACTCCTAAAAATGTTCTACAGTTTCAAGATAATACAAAAGAAAATACTGGACCATGACTACACTGGTGTTGCAAATAATGTGGATGTGAAGGATAATGGCTGGAATGCTCAGTAAGTACACTGCTGTGCCCCAAGCACTGCTGCACTTATTGGGTTACGTTCATACATATTATTCAACATTTACTGTAAGTCAATGCAAGTGGGCAGAAAAGCCTCTTGAATCACTTTTCTTCCTGACACTACAGTTCTACAGTGAGGTGGCCCATAGGCTTGAATGAGTTCACTGCAGAATTGATATACATAACTCACCCACATCGGTTAATGATGGTGAATTGCAATACACACAGTAGCTCTGAAATTAATATTTGAGCATTTACTTCCATCCAAAAATACTGAACTGTAAAAACAGCAAACAAAAACAAAGCCAAAATCTAGATACATCCAGTGAGTGTTCCCTGTGAAAAGGCATCAATCTTTGATTCCTACAAAGTCAGTGTGACACATTCAGAAGTACACTGTAACTTTTTTATGCACTCTCTATTTGACAGCCTCTGTGAAATGTTAACTAAGTTTTTGACTCTTTCCCACAAGAAAATTTCTAATGACTCATAGCATAAATCCCACAGAATTAATTAACACTTTTTGTCTTGTCAGCCCTTTGTCACATATGCTTCGTCTGCTTTTCCCACAGCAAACTAGGTTAAGACAGCTTAAACATAGGAACCAAACCTTAAGAATCATGGTATTCAAAATACAAGCCAGTCAACCCATTATTACAGTAAACAGTGATTTACAAAGCTAAGCAAATGCAGAAAATATGGTAGTTCTGTATATGTACTAAAATAAACTAATTCAGGTTGAAGTAATTAAAACTTAAACAGTTGAATTTAAGTAAATGGACTGAGAAAGTAATTTAGTAAGTCTGCTAATTTCTGAGTATGGAATTTTCAAACATTCTCACAGTACAGAAACAAAACAGAAAGTGACCTAAGTAAAATAATTGGTTCTTTGTGAATTTCTCTACTACTGAAAATCTGAAAACCATTATTATTTGAAGCAGATTTTACTGCCCACCACCATTCGATACTTTCACAGCTCCTGAACTACAGAAATCTGAAAAGGGTAATTAAAGACCTGCTGCTTGAAATTACCATATGTTGGAGACTCTCTGCCATCCTCTACACCCGAATCCCGCTCTCTGTCTCTCTTCCTGTGCTTGTGTCCACGATGCCTGTGTCTTCTGTGGCTTTTTCTTCCTCCCAGTGGTACATGCACACCAATATACAATGTGCGGTGACCTTGGAAGAAAAAAGCAGGATAAATACAATGGAAATTAGCAAATTACTTACCACCATTGCAAGTGTTCTACTTCATTATTAGACGTATTACTAGTAGCAGTACTGTCTACATATTTTCTCATTTCCTGATTCTATTTTATAACCATAGCTCTGGTAATGTTAATCCATTACCAGAGCTATGGTTATAAAATAGAATCAGGCGGAGCGGTGGCACTGTGTCTGGGAGGTTGTTGGTTCAAATCCTGCAGCTGGCAGAGGAATCCTACTCCGTTGGGCCCCTGAGCAAGGCCCTTAACCCCAGCGGCTCCTGTGCTCTGACCCCAAGCTTCTGACCTGTCTGTGTGTCTAAAAAGATTAATTCCTAACGCAAGAAATTGTATAGGGCTGATAAAGTGATGTTATGTTATGCTGTGTTAAAAAAAAAAAATTTTAGTGGTATTCACAGTATTTACCTTCTAATATTGCAAACATCTCTACTTACTGTACATGCAACAAAAGAAGCTGGACTACTCAAATAAACTAATAATGAACGCATTGTATATTATGACAGGTTCTGGAGTATCCTGCACGCATTGGTTGACAAATGAAATGTAAAATTAAATATTTTATGTGGTATTCAAAAATCCTCCTCATCAATGAGCACAAATAGACTTCTATATTGTATATATATATTTTTTTTTTTCATTTCATATGTAATTAAAATGTACCTCTGGGAATGCAAATAAATCATTAAAAGTGGACCACCTTATTCTTTTTCGTTCAGGGTCTTTAGTTTCTTTAAGTAGTATCAAATATTACAAACTCTAATTTGTTTACGAAAAGGGATTTATTGGTAGCAGGTATTCAATATTTCATGTGTACCGGATACATTTTTATATAGCTGAAATGTTATTCTCTGAGTAGCAAAAACATGGTTGCTTTTTTTTTTAAAATCACTCAGCACTTATGTTTATGTCAGAAATATTAGTGAACAGCACTTAATAGCACTTTTCCCTGAAATGAAATGAATGGCTTCTCCAAAATCCTTGACATGATCCCTTTTTCATTTACCTATTCTTTTAAAAGCATGGCCACAGATACAGCTTCTAGGAATTTGGTTTAGTCCTAAATCAGGCCAGGAGACATCTGCCACAGCATTAAAATATGGTCGATTAGTTGGAACTGGAGCACTGCTTTGACAGGCATTCCTTCATGGTAACACTGTACGTGACTGAGGCTAAAACACACAATGACTCCTTCATGAACAGTACGTAACATGATACAACAACATTGTACCAACTGTGAAAATTACAGACATGCAATTCTTCAAAAGACAAGAAATAGTTTCAGTCGAAAGCTAAGAACAGGACTCCAGGAAGAGAGAATTCAGGTGAAAGTAAGTATAAGACACCATCAAGTACTTTCTGCAGGTGCAGCTCAATGGTACTGGTATGTTTCTGTGAAATTTTATTTTGCTATATGTTTTTATGTGAGTTTTTTTAATGTGTTTTACAGTCTTACTATAGTGTTTTTTATTGCTAATTTAAATTCTCTTAAGTTCGATTTCCTATTAACTCAGTCTCATCTTACAAAGGTGAATCAGCTCAGTGACAAGAAAATGTCATTGCATCACCAATGATCTCTCGATCTTCAGTCCAATGCGTTTATATCTTAATTCCACACATATCACTTTCTGATTAGCATGGTTCAAATTACGTTTAAAGAAGTTATCATTTCTTCTAATATTCCACACTGAAAAAAAAACAGAGGACAAAAGTGGAAACTCCAGAAATACTGTACATGTAAAACTAAGTCTAGGAGGGCTACAGTACCTGGCAGTGTTGTTGAAGCTGATACCCTGGATGAGATCCTTGGTTCAAAAAGCTACTCTCTACCAAATGGATTAGATTGGCCAAATAGCCTCCTCTCACTTATACCATTATTATGCTCTTATGCTAATAATAATAATTAATGATAATTGCTTACACTTATATAGCGCTTTTCTGGACACTCCACTCATAGCGCTTTACAGGTAATGGGGACTCCCCTCCACCACCACCAATGTGCGGCATCCACCTGGATGATGCCGTAGTGCGCCAGAACGGTGACCACACATCAGCTATTAGTGGGGAGGAGAGCAGAGTAATGTAGCCAATTCATAGAGGGGGATTATTAGGAGGCCATGATTGGTAAGGGCCAATTGGAAATTTGGCCATGGGGTTACACCCCTACTCTTTTCGAGAAACGCCCTGGGATTTTTAATGACCACAGAGAGTCAGGACCTCGGTTTTACATCTCATCCGAAGGACGGTGCCTGTTTACAGTATAGTGTCCCCGTCACTATACTGGGGCATTAGGACCCACATGGACCGCAGGGTGAGCGCCCCCTTCTGGCCCCACTAACACCTCTTCCAGCAGCAACCTTAGTTTTTCCCAGGAGGTCTCCCATCCAGGTACTAACCAGGCTCACACCTGCTTACCTTCAGTGGGTTGCGGGTTGTGAGTTGCAGGGTGATATGGCTGCTAGATAAATGGATACTTATGTTCTTCCATGCATCCATTTTCTAACCACTTTCTTCAATACAGGGTCAAGAGGGAGCCAGAGCCCATCATGACAAGCCACGATCTCAAGATAGAATATACTTTGGACGTGACGTCAGATCTCCCACAGACACTGACAGCAGGGATAGTTTTTTTTTTCAGAAGCCAACTAGCCTACCAGTGTGACTTTGGACTGTGGGAGGAAACCAGAGCACTCACAGGAAACCCACATGAGTATGGAAAGAACATTCAAAAACAGACAGCACCCCAGGAATTGAACCCAGAGCCAAAACACAGTAAGACAGCGATGCTTACCACTGTGCTGCCCTCTTATGTTTTTATAGTGCATGTTTTATACATACAAAGTATACAAATAATTTACACTACTGTCTGAGTTTTCATGTTGAAGAAATCTTTTTATCTTTTAAACTCAAAATATAATTCAAAGCTTTCAGTCCAATAAGTTTGTTAATTAATATAAAGATACAAGTATTTATTTCACTTCTTGTCCTGCTGTATTGTTTTCAGTACAAAGTTACTAATGTAATATGCGTATTGAAGTTAATAATTCATCATCTCTGTATCTACCCATTTTCATTATTTAAATCCAAAAACCAGTGAAATCTCATTTCACTGTCTGTTGCCTTTTTTGTGAAACCAGGGTATGATTAGCAATCTGAAGTAGTGTTAATCCTTTTTGGCCTGTGGGAGTGATATATAAAGCATCAGACAGGCTTCTTCTGGGTGTTCTGCAAAACCAGCAATGTAATGCCACTAGTTATCAGTGCAAAAACCTTTTGGGGCCAATTTAAACAAACACAGCTAAATCATTAGATCACCCATAAATGATGCATTATTTGTAAGTAATGCCTCCATAATATCAGGCCATTCTTTGTCCTGCGAGAAATATCCTGACTGTATATCATCTTTATGTGTGAAGTGAACATTACTACCACTCATTTCAAGAAACTAAATGCTACGTTAATGACTGCCGAGGCAGTGCCAAAGCAGCCCATACATCACATCTCATAGAGAGCACAGGTGCATTGAAAAGCAGCTGCAGTGAATAAGCCGCCATTCTGCACTGACTCCAGCATAGACAGGCAGCAAAGCATGGAATCATCTGTCACTGCACATCAAAGGAGCTCAATGCTGACAAACGCTCAATGGAGGCAAAACACAAACTAGCAGATAAGTGCTAACACAGCAAAGAGGCTCTAAGAAAGCCGCTTTGTAGCCGATGCATTAAAACTGTTTAAATAGCCAATTTCAACAACGTGCTACAGAAGCCACGCCCAAGAAAATACCATCCTATATCTTCCCATGATTGCTGAGCACAGTAAATGTGAAATGTGCAACGAGGCAAGCTGTTGCTACAGACAAAATCTCTCCTGTTAGAAAGTGACTCATTTTAAAAACGTACAAGTTAACTAGTTGGTAAAACACAGATTTTTATTTGAATCAAATGAATCTTAAGAAACAGTCGCATAACAGTAGTTACCATTATTTAAAAACTACAACTTATCAGCATTTGAAAGACAACATTATCAGACTGTAGTGCTCAAATATTGTTTTCCTTAAATATTTTTCAAGTGTTGTCTCTCTGTTATTGTTGACTGCAACCATCACAGCCTGCCATACAAGCATCTTTTGTATGAAGTGTTTTTTGAAGTATCTTTTCTTAAATCATTATTCACCTAAATATTGTTAATGTCTGACAAAAACGTCTGTACAGGAAATTCCTTAATTTTCAAACCGTTTTGAAATCCTTCCTGTAAAAGCATCTGTGTTTAGTGTGTTTAGGAACACAGCGTTGAAATAAAACAATTCTTGTAGTGAAGATTATGAAGAAGCGGTTTCACAAGGATCAATTAAATGCACTTGCAGGTGTATTTAGGAGGCAGAGTAATAAATGGCTGTCCTCGTCATTCCTTACTTAGGCAAAGATTCAGTCGATACTTTGACCCACTTGACAAATGGAGTTCACATCTAAAATTTGGGAGTGATGACAACAGCCAAGTTCAATTTGTCTCAGTTGTCCTATTTGGCTCATAATCATTACTGATGGCACTTCCTAAATTAAAAAAAGAGCCTTTTCTCCTCAATAAGCTGTCCTATGCAACTACCCCTTGGTTAACTCTTCACTCTGCATGGGTGTCTCAGCCTCCTCGTCCTACAAGCCAAGGGTTTGGTCCTCAGCCAAATTTACTCTGACTAAACACTCAACAAACATTTTTCAATGCATAGAAATCCCTGTTTTCTATTCCTCATGAAATGTAATGTAAATAATAGTTACTGCACATCATGTTGTTTTTTTCATGCACGAGAGGCTTCTTGCTTTTACCTATTGGAATCATGCCATCACCTGCTGGCAGTGTAATTTCTGAATATTGAAATGTTACTTTTGGATTGTACTTTGTAACTTTTGCTGACATTTAACTTTTCACCCAATTAAAAGCCTTAGGTTTGTGCCTTCATGCCTTGATTAAAAATATTCAATATAAAATAATATAAAAAAGTATGTCTGTCACCTGTAATTTAACAAAATCATTGGAAGGGCGTGAACATTTTTCCAGGGCACTATATAAGTGACAAAAACAAGCTCTATCGTTCAGTCAAAACACTTTAAGAAATCACATTGACTTCATCATCAACCTCATTTCTCTAGTCTTTACAGTCATTCCCTTATTTGAATATATAAGTTGTCCAGTTGCTATTTATTATATTTTCCCTCAATTCGATTAGTTTTGACTCAACATACCCTTGGATTACGTCATGTACATTCTCAGCGAGGTGAGAAAGGAACAAAAATATTCCATTAAGCCTTGCAGTAGGGCTCCTCGTAAGCCCTAAACACTAAATCACTTTGAGATAACAGCAATAAGAACAAAAAATACCTTCCAATTCTTCCTTTTCAAAGTGAGTTTTCAGGATGGAGCGAGTTCCACCTCTGTCCACAACAGCTTCTTCATCATTTCTCTGAAAAATAAAATTAATATTTCACCAAGTTTAGAGACCCTAAAGAAGTAGTGGTTCTAACTACCATAAAACCTTACACTTCATTAAGTTTCCTTTCTCTCTCTCTACCTCATGGACTGCTGGCTGCTGGTCTATTCTTTCTCTTACTCTCTACCCCGTTCATGATTAGCGCACACTTACCTGTTAACGGTTTGAGAACAATAAACCCTGGTGAGCCTACAATTCTGTTCTCTTGTCCCTCCTTCCCCACTGGCAGACACAGCTAAGTCATAATAATAGAGGAAGATCGCTGCAATATCATGAGTGGTCATTCTCTATTTGTTTCATCCAATGGCCAATAAAGGGTTACCTCCACCTTACTTAAGATTCAGGTTAGGTAAAGACTTGAGGAACTGAACCCTCTTATAACCCAAGGAGTGGGTGCATATATAACCCACCCCAACCCTTCTTAATTGCTAATTGCTAATTAAGAAGGTGTTATGCAGAGGAAATGTTTTGTTGCAAAGGTAATAGGATTTCGAGCATACTCACCAGCATATTGACTGAAACTCAATATACACTTCTATGTGAATATTACAGTGTAGAAATCAATGACACCTCAGAAGTAAAATTCATTGTATTTTACCTTGAAATATATGTAAATGTATGTAATTATTTTCTCTAAAAATAATTTTGCAAATATGTATGTTTGTGTATTAAGTCTAAAATCCAGATGATTAAAAACCCTGTAACAGCATCAAGCTCTTTCGAAGTACTTAAACCCATTTCAAAATCAAATTGAAAAGCCCATTTTAATAAATTCTGCCCTGATTACTTTGGTTATAGTGTCTCATGTGAAATTCAACTAAAATTACACCCAAAGCACATTATTATCCATCCATTTTCTAATCCATTTCCTAACTTCTTCCAATTCAGGGCCACAGGGGAGCCAGAGCCTATCCCTGCAAGCAACAGGCTCAAGGCAGGATACACCCTGGATGGGACGCCAGCCTACTGGAGGGATGACACACACAGACACATACGTAGACAATCTCAATCTCATACGAGGGTTTTCCCAGAAGCCAATCAACTTACAAGTATGTTTTAGTGGGAATTTGGAGAACCCGGAGAAAACCCACATGAACATGAGCAGGTCATACAAATTCCACACAGATAACACTCCAGGTCCGAAAATGAACCCAGTGTTGCGAGGCAGCAATGCTAACCACTGTGCCCCAGTACCACACACATATCATTATTTATGATGAAACTATTAAGATAATGCTAATTAATAGTAGTAGCACTAGTAGTACTTTCATTTTTATAGCTCTTTTCATCACAGGGGATCTTAATGTGCTTCACATATATTGGAGAGAACCCAAGTTAACCACCTTAACCTTAATCCTCCTGTGTGACACATAGTAGTGGATTAGTACAAGTAGCAGCATTGTACAGGAGATCAACAAAATGAATTAAAGGAGAAATTCAGGTAGCCTAAATTGTGCAAATACATTAGAATTTAGCAAGGACACCAGGGTTAACACACTTAATTCTATGAACAGGGATGTCTAATGACCGAATAGTCAGGACTTTAGTGTAACATCTTAAACCCTTTTGTCACATCGGGTTTAAATACAAATAAGTAATTATGACTTACATTCTGTTACGGAAGTTTGTTATGTAATTGTTATTAATTCCATTGAAACGCAATTGTTGCTCAAACATTACAGAGATGTTTCTCATTATAACCTGGTTGCCTGGAGCTAGAAATTAGCTCTTAATGAAAAAGCTTCAAGATTTAGATTTCTTAATGGAAGTGACAGCCTTTTCACTCTGGTAACCATTTAAAATGTAACAAAACAGAACAGAGATATGAAAAAAGAACCTCCTGTTTACATTAGGTTTGGGGCTAACTTTTTCTAAACCATGCCAACGGTAGGATGTTTTCATCACAGATAATGTTATGACAAAATTACTCGTAAACCGTCTCTTTCCGATATTTCATGCTGAAAGAAAGCGATTATATTTGCTGAAAAACTCAGACTAAGGTTCTTCATCCTACAGTGACTACAAGCTTGATTATTCTATACTCTCCTCAATCAGTAGTAGTTCACTTGCTTTTACCAAATGGGCTAGATGGGCCCTCCACTCCTTTCATTTGTAACCTTTCTTATGTCCTTATGTACTATGTTCTTTTTTGTGCATATTTTTGTAATACAGTATTTCTGAACAAATCACATACAAACGATTTAAAACCACATAAAAATAAAGATTTATATAAGGATCTTGCAAAAACTCTGAAGAAAATCTCATTGCAGCTTTAAGATTCCTATGGTTTCTAATTTTCAAAGGAAAGCTCTTCAATGACATTAGGCCCTTGAGTATTTTTGGTCTGATATCAAAAGCTTTTTGCATTGGATGAATTGTGGCTAACATTTATTTCTGAACTAATTCACAAGATGGGAGATAACACCCAGTATTTTGCAGAACATTTTATTTAAAAAAGGCTTTCAGACATACTGTAAATCCTTGAAGTTCCACCCAGACAGTTAGGGCACCATAAGGAATATTACCAAACAATTAAAACACTTTCTGATTGTGTAGTTTTGAATTAGATGAGGAAATCCTAAAGATTAGAGCAATCCACTGCTTCTGGACATACACATGTTAAAACATGTGAAAGATAGCTGGGAAAAACAGAGATCCAAGCAGATGTTTGACTGGAGCTGGGTGAAGAATAGAAGCAGGATCCCTATAAATTACAGCTGAGTATTTGCAAGGAATAAACCTTACTAATACAGATATTTAATCTGAGCAGATTAACATTTATTGTTTTAACTTCTTCCTAGTCAATTGTCTCCCAATCTCACTGTTTATCATTTATGTTGTCACAAATCATGCAAAAATGTTTTAAAAAACCTGCTCTCAATTTTCTCTCATTAATTTCTGAAACTAGGTCTGAATTTAATCATGTAATCCCTTTACATGAGCCAGCAATGCCTCCTTCATTTGAAGGTAAAATTCAATGAATAGCCCCTCACAAACATTTCACGATGAATCTGTCATTCAGTTTTCTTTGATGTGGGTTCCACACCAGCAATCACACAGCCTATGAGCTGATCTTAGGTGGGAACCAGGAAAAGGATTTTGGAAAAGAAAGCAAAATTATAAAATACTAATCTCCCTGACTTGAATTTACACTGAATACGAGGTCACTAAAAAATTATTTGTCATATCAGCAGTTCACTTTCCAATCCTTCTGAAACACATCTTATTCAACAAGAATACATTCAAAAGGCTTCCCAGATGCAAAATTAATAACCAAACAACGGAGAGAAAACATTAACTAGATATATCGCCTTCTAAAACAGACATTTAGAATATCCTGAATGACTAAAGTGCTTCAGAGGTTAAGGAGCTAGTGTCTTAACAGAAGACAGCAAAGACATAAAGAACACCACATAAAAAGTAAAATCTGACTCCAGTTTTTGTGGGTTGATCTATTTATAAATCATCCTGCTATATATTATACTTTTACTGCAGGGCAGCCTAGCAGTGACATTAAATCATCAAATGTCTATTTAAGGACATACATCTACAGTAATATGCCATGTATACATCAGATTTGATGAAAACCCTCTCTGGTAGCATGCCCATGAATATAAGAGTCAGATTAAATGCATTCAGGTGACCCTCTCTGCACTAAGCCCATCTCAGCACGTTCCTGCTCCCGTGAGAAAGCAGCAGAGTATTTAATCCAGGCAGGAGCATGCGCTGTTACAGTGCACTGAATCAATTCTAGAAAAAATGAATCAGCTCAAGGGCACCTTAAAAGGACAGTACTGAGTTCTACACTAACAAGGAATTTTACTCCCAGTAACAAAAAGATAATTTATAAAGTAGGTCAGGAAATTATCAGACGCTATATTAACCTACAAAGTTTCTGCATGTCTATGAAAAGCAAATGCCGTTTTTCATGCTTGAGTTTATTCAAAGACGTATCAATGACCATTTAATGATCAGCTGCTTTAGAAATGCTGCACGTTCTTTGAAACCGCAACCTGTGATTTTTTGAAACGCAGGCTTTGATGGATTTCGATTCAGAAAAAAATGAAATATAATTTCTTTGGCTGTGAAACTACGGTAAACACTTCCCAGTATGTTCAAAACATATTCCAAAGAACAACACAGAGGTTTTCTATACACTGATTGGTCCAGAGTCAGATGGGTACTGCTAAAGTTTGGCCTTCTATAGCAGTATGTGGGCAGTGCGGCACTGTGTGGGCTTGGACACTCTTTACTTGCAGGCAAAAACAACAACAGAAAAGAAATAAGCAGCTATTGCGCTCCAAAAACTGTGTAATCCAAAGCCAATATTGGAAATATTGTCTGTGTGATATTCCGATAAAACACTAACTATGTTCCATATTTTTTGTAGCCGAGGTCGTTAGAATGAATGATTTGTCCCTGGAATCTTTTCAGACTTTTTCAAACCAAAAATATTTGTTAAGTTAATAAATGGAAAACTTATCATTAGCTGCAATGAAGACTATTGGCACTTTTAGAAAAACAGTTTCTTGTAGTATCATCCGACAGACTAGGAGGGTGTGATTATATTCCTCAATACATAAGAGATTTAAAGCATCTGAACTATACAGTGATTGGTATTCTCTTTGATATATGTATTCCAACAGCAAAGACGGGGAACTGTGCGGGTGACTTTGACAATGATACAAAAAAGCACATAGTGACATAGCCCCTTGGAGATAATAAAGACTCTCTTGTTTAGCCCGTACATTCCTGTGCAATTGGTTTCTGGAAAAACATTTAGGTATTTTTAAGTTGAAGGACTTCTTTTTTTCTGGAATGGTTAATTAGGATGGTTAATTTTCCACCTATGCAGAAAAGCACAAAAGACAATTATAGAGGACCCACACAGTGAGGATACACAGCAAGTTAGAGATTATACCTCACAAAATTGCAGTCTTAAGTAGTAGTTAGGTCTCTGGTCAGAAGATAAA